TTTAAAACAGTTGTGGTGTGTAAAGTATTAGAGCGATTACGAATAACTCAATGACGCTGTCTTACATCACTTACAGGTAAAAACGATACTATCTCACACAGGGCGTTGATGACATTTTTGAGGTCTGTTAGCGCTGCGGTATTCTCGATACTTCGTATTTAGACGTAAGCGTGCACATAATTTAAAGACAAATCACTTGCACTTTAAGAACAGGAGTGTGACTCAGAACTTGAGCCTGAGAAACTTGATTTTCTTCATTTCAAAAGTCGCCTCCACTATGTCGTTGAACTTATCTCACATTACCACAATCTAGGTATAGCAACTACCAATATGCAAGCAATTTATTTTAATTCCCAGTGGACTCCTAGATGTTATTCGTATTCAGCTGAACAGCAGAAACATTGTATCGTTTCCAACACTTTTGACTCCCTCAAGCGTCCTCACTTGTGTTGACGTCACTGTACCGCGCCCCCTGTAAGCGTCTCTGCCACGTCATACGGGGAGGGAGGTAAAAGCAGTAAGGGTTTAATTCAAGGAAAAGGATCGAAACAGACTCTGAATTGAACTCGGACTACAAGATAAGATACTCTTTCATTCATGTCACCGTGAGTATACTTTCTTTATAGTACATACGCTAGTTTAAGAGACGGATTTGTTACTCCTTGTGTCCTACGTGCTGTAACACGACACTCCGAGAATTGAATATCCTCTGTGTCCTGGGTCTTGTTCTGTGAATTCATTTATCTACTCGGATTGTATTTAAGGTGTACAGACCAATAAGTGTTGTCTGTTCAGTTTAATACTGATGACCAAATGCCCTGTAGTTTATAGACAAAAGCTGTGCTGTGTTGTATTGATGTGTTATATAATGGTTTACATGTTACAGGTATATAATGATGTTAGCAGCATATAATTAATTTACAGCTCGTTTAGTGTAAAAACAGATACAAAGCAGGACAGTTCATTGAAGTGAAACTAAAACTGAATTAAATCACACAGGGATTTGTGATTAGTTTATAAGCGAGGACACCTTTACCAGGACATAACTATGACTTTTAAAGTTGTTTTAATGTACGAAATAATGACGAATTAATTTAACACTGTTCAAAGCAAAGTTTGACATATTACATATTTGTGCTAAGCCATGGATACAACTTAGTCAAATAAAAAGTCTAAGTAACTTATATTTGCCGTTTCACTGAGGAAAAAAAACATTTTATATTTTCTGTTCTGTGTGTGCTCTCAGTTTTGCTCACTAATACACCAGAAATTATTTTCTCAAGGATTGATAGCCTTCTTTCCCGTGATACTTATCTCTGGTAGGTAATACAATTGCCACTCTTTGTTTTTCAACAAACAAAGGATTAGAAATGTTGGATACTGTATAGGAAATGGGAATCCTTATGGGTCAGTGTTAACCCAATTTTCACATCTGGAAGTTGTCATGAAACAGCCTGCTTACAAGTCACACACAACGAAATCTAGGGCCTGGAACAGGAAAGAGGAAGAAATAAGTGATTTGGATAACGTAACAATAATTCTAGGTGTGGAGTGTAATAAACACATGCTGAGTAATTGCTAACTACTAGCAACAGGACGTCTATGTACACTCTTGAGATGGTGGACTTGACAGCATAATGACTTGGAAAGTTTGAGTTCCCAGAAAAGTTATTTGACTAATATTGTAACAGGGTTATGCTATTGCTCCTGTTAGAGATCCTGTATGGGAGGGGACTGGTATTGGCATAGCCTGCAGGAATGAGCTTATTTCATCTGTGGTGGACTCGTCTGTGCCATTCACCGAAAGGGATGGGATAGATCCAAGTCATTCAGATCTTGGTAAATATAGAACCCTGTCAGCAACCAGTGACTTGTTACATCTTCCTGTCAAACCCCATTTCACAAATATGAATTCATTCCTTGACTTCAGTCTGGGACCACATGTTTGAAGGGTCTGGGTGATTTATGACTTAATATTCTCTAAAAGAAGAAACACAAGTGTGGCTACTGGCTGCAAATTGAGTGATCAGATGCATCACGGCTCTACTTCAATGCATTGTCAAAATTTACAGAAGCAGATTTCATCCCATACTAGGTCCCCAAAGAATATTTGTAGTACATTACTGTTCTTTAAAATGTACAATATCTGGGATTGTATTAAAACCATCTTTTAACTTACCATAAGACTTTGCCTTTGATATTTTATACTTATTTGTGTATGCTACTATGGGCAACGAGATGATTTAGTGCAGAATGATTGTGCCATATATCAAGCAGTTCATTCAAGAATTTTATAACAGGGACTATACAGTATATAATGTTTTTCTAAGCAGAAAAGCCATACACATTGTTTCCATCTGGAGCATAGCATGTTGTGATTATTGATTATATAAGGATTAAAAGTTGGTAAGAAAACCAGAACCAGTAAACATAGGTGTCTTCTAGGTCCGGGGTTGGTAAATATTGCTTTAGGTAGGAGCAAACTATCTAATTAGATTTCTTTAGAAAGTCATGCTGTCCAGATATTTACATAAAACCAGCAGCCTTTTCCTTTGTTAATTTTTAACAGGATGTTTGTCTACAGAAGATAAGCAGAAGTAACATACAGTATGTTAAAAATGGTGTTCTTCAGACAGGCAAGAGAAAGAAAAAAAGTTTTCAAAGCAGGCTTATCTGAAAACTTTAGAAGTTTAGTTACTGAAAAAAATCTAGTTTTGGAGGAAGAAATAAAGTAAATGAACTTTTTTTCACAGGTGTTATTATTCATTTCCAATATTAATGTTACACTAATATTGCTCAGAAATATGTATAGCTGCTTTCCCTGCAATTTGGAATAAATTGGCTATAGACTATTGCGTGGTATTAATAAATTAAGTTGTATTCAATAATTAAACTTGTGAACAAAGTTCAGTATTATGATGAGAAGCCAATCACTTTGGCAGTACTGACTGAATAAGATCTGTAAGATCATAAAGCAACAGCAGTAGTGTTTGAACATTGTATTATTCTTTCCTTGTGGACTGGAATGTTTGTTGATTTAATTTGTTTTGCCTAGTATGTCAGTTTATCAACACACTGTAGCCACTTTACGTAAATCTAGATGACCTTGTACCCTAAGACATTGCAACCGAGAGTGCTGTAGCACATTGAACAGACTGTTTGCCTCTCTTCTCCAGTGCTTGTGGGATGATTCTGGACGATACACCACTCTTTGATCCCCTGCTACTCCAGGAGCTGGACTGGAGTGCCAACACAGTACCGTTCTCTCCCCCTATTTCCCCTTCCCAGCCTGGGGAGGGCCTTGTACTCAGGCCTCTCTGCACAGCAGACCTCAACAGAGGTACAGACTCCAGAACTGAAAGGATGAAAGCTGGGTGTAAACTGTGTGTCAGAGTCTGAAGTTTGACGGCACTTTTACAAATGTAATATGTTATTTTGTAATTTGCTACAACAGTGATATTTTGTTATTGTACTTTCATGAAGAAAATTGTTCGTTTTTTTTCATGTAAAAAAACATGAAATACTCAAGCTAAATAACTGTAATGGTAACCCATTACTTTCTGAGGTTGTCCAGTAACGCATCTGCAAACCAAAAGTAAATCTTTTTAGTGTTGAAGGTATGATTGCAGTGCAGGCAAGAGTGATGAATGCAGCATTGATAAAAATACATCGAGTATTGTGGCTGCTCTCGGTTAACAGTAGGGCCAGTCTTTAGGAGGAAGAAACACAGTGATGTTTAATAGGCCTAATGCATTTGCAATGTGAACTTAAATATGTTTTATTAAGGTATAGGTTGCACAGATGATGACTTTCTAATCTCTCGGAAAAGGTTGATTGTAAAGCTGTCAGATTTATCCAGGAGTTGGTTAAATGATTCCTGTTCTTTCTTTCAGGTTTCTTCAAAGTCTTGTCTCAGCTCACTTTGGCTAGCGATGTCACACCAGAACAGTTCATCAGTGAGTAGCAATGGCAGTTTTTCAAACAATACCCTTCATTTTTTAAGGTCTTATAAAGCTGTCAATAAAAGACACATTTCTGGTCAAATTCAAGTAATATCTTATGAAAGACAGTTAAATGTAATCATTAGTTTGCATTTACCAAAGGTCTTTCTGTGTTTTCATAATGATTGAATAGTGTGCAGGATTTAGTTTTCTGAATATGCAAACTTGGATTTCATCTGGGCTGAAATAAGTAAACTGAAATTGTGGGATACAACTGATACTGGTCCACACTGTTATTTTGCTGACAAACTGTTGAATTTTGATTATTTTTGTTTCAGAGAAGTTTGAGCACATGAAACTGACAGGGGATTATTATGTCATTGTGGTAGAAGACACGAGCCTTGGGCAGATTGTCGCCACAGCCACGCTCATAGTTGAGCACAAATTCATTCATTCCTGTGCCAAAGTAAGAACACACAGATATTCAAATTTAATTTAGACTTCTGCTCCACTTCCATATACGGTAATAATCAGCAGTATGGTGATTAATATGTTTGCCATTTAGTTACTTTTAACTTTGTATTATTATAGAAAAATATAAAGGGATAGTAAGGTTGTTTTTTATGGTATCTCATTTAGCTTTAGTAATTGTCTGTCTCTGGTAGTTACATTCTCTGGTAACTTTGGTTTTCTTTACTGACTGATAAAATAGAGGAGTTTTAGCTGACACGTCATCTAAACCTATGTTATCAAAAATGAATCTCGCAAAAGTAGAAATGTACCTTTGGTTCAGTTGATCATTTAATAATTAATAGGTTCCACCACACAGCATTTCTGTCCATTTCTGATGTGCTTTCTTGCTTTGCACAGAGAGGGAGGATAGAAGAGGTTGTAGTGAGTGACATTTGCCGAGGGAAGCAGCTGGGAAAATTGTAAGTATGACAAATGTCTAATAAATTCACCATCGCTAGGCACATGCTATATGAACCAAAAATATGTACAAGATCTACTATGATTGCATTATATACATTGAATTAATACTTTTTTCCTCACAGGTTGGTGTCATGTCTCACTCTTCTTAGCCGGAAACTTGACTGTTACAAAATAACACTAGAATGTGCACCGAAGAATGTGGCTTTCTATGAGAAGTTTGGCTATTCTGCATCAGATGAAACCTACATGCAGCGCCGGTTCTTCGACTGAGCTCAGCCTGGCACTCAGACACTCAGAATGGAACCCCCCCCAGCTGGAAAAACAAGTATAAGAACAGTCACCCTCTGAAAACTGGAAGGCTGCCTCAGTCGGTGTAGATCTGAGCTTGTATCCATTAGGCTTGGCTTTTCCAGTACTTAGAACACACAAGGCAGCTCGGAATTGGAAGAGGAACAGGCCAAATACTGTACCTTCGGAAAAGAAACAGAAATGTACTAGCTAATACCAGGCCAAGGATCTCCTTTAGTTTTGCCAGCTTGATTTTCCAGTACTAGGTTTCTAAACGCCTTTCCTTTTCAGCTGAAAACTGCTACGTTATCTTTCATGCTTTCCTGTTATATAAATTGTTTCTATCTGGACATCCAACTTGATCTAGGACCTTCAAGTTCTACAAGGTTCATATTTTAAAAAACAACTTTTGTTATACTTTTAAAATGCTGCAGTCTTACAATTCAAATGCTACAAGCTGTGTAGTATGAAACACTTTGCAAGGACGTGTAAGGATGTTAATGATGGCAAATGCATAGAAAATCCTATGTATTAATACAAATGGAAATGGCTCACTGATAGCTGTTTCGGTTAAGTAATATTAGTTTAAGTAGGTTTAATAAAAAACTAGAAATATATTATGTATTTAGAGAATTATATCCTAAATTATATTCCCACTGTAAATGAGATACTGTCCACACAAAAGGTACCACCAATACTTTTATGACTTAATATTTATAGCACTGGGGATTTTTAAACTCTATAAAACAGTTATATAGTCTAAACAAATCTCATGAACGTACTCATAAAGTCATGTTTAATTGTGAAAGAATAATTTTCATGACAGGATGCAAGTTTGGTTTTCAAGAAAATTTTAAATTATTTTTCTAGTTTTTTTTTTAACTGTAAAATAAACCAAAGATGGTATAAAAATGTATAATTAGTCTGTTGGATGAGAAACAGTTGAGCCAACGGAGGGGAATAAGGAAGAACATTTTTATTTTCTGATAGTAAAATGTATAACATAGTTAGAACATTAAATTGTTAGATCAAAGAATCACATTGCTGATTAAACCTGTCTATGTCTAACCCCTGCCTCCTTCAATTTTAAAGTAAGAAAAGTAATGGTTACACCTTCCTTTTTTGTTTTTCTAGATTTTGTTACCCCAGTGCTAAGCTAAACATTTTTCTTGAGCAGTTTATCATTATGCATTTGGACCTAACAGTTGGTTCTTTACCTAATGGGTCCCAGCAGTGGCTCCTTGTAAGGCCCTCATGCCCACAAGTGGTGTTTATCGTCTGACATGCTGCAGGCTCTACAGTTTTTTACAGGAGAGGCAGCACCAACTGCAGGAGCCACGTGTCTCTGGTGAAAGTTGCTGCAAGCCTGCAGCCGAACATGAAGTCACTGCAGTTGCCCTTTTCCAACCTTTCTGCTGGCAGCACATCCAATTACGGACTGCTCCTTTTCCTGGAGAAATCCCACATAAACTTGCGTAAAATATCCCCCCCCCAAAAAAAAATCTAACATTCAATTTAAATGTTCGTTTTTTTCTGTTTGGATTAGTGTCCTTAGCATTGTGGTAAACTGAGTCTGTAAAATTATGGATGCAAACATGAAAGAGTTTCCAGTTCAGAAATGAATAACGCAAATACTTTAAAAAAACATAAGAAGCTTACCTGTACAGGTATTGTGCTATTCAATGTTTTAACATTTGTGCAAAAAGCAAGGAGAAGTGAACATCTTCTATAGGTACTTTACTGAGGTTAAAGCAGGAGAAAGCACTGTGGGTTTGAACAGCTGAAAGATCTTGTTGGAAGTACTAGTGTTCTCCAATCTGACATAACCAATTCATCTAATACATTTATGGTGTGCTATACTCTTGAGGTGTATTGTGAAAGTGTCAGGACAGGAAAACAATAAACCTGAATTTGAAATATAAAATGAATTTGAATAAGGTCTAATTGCCACAGGTTGTGCTTTCAGCTGAAAGAACCCATAGGCCTTCTCTTAATATTACAAATACAGAATTGTATTTATACATGGTGTAAGGGTATTTAAGTGTGTTGTAGGAGTTTTATTTATTTTTATAGTATGAAATTACATTTTGGGTGCAAAGAAAATTGGGAATATTACAGAACTGTATATTTATTTTGAAAAGAGAGAGCTGATTTGGGGTCAAAATAGTTGTCTTGAGACTTAACTTTCCTTGATTTACTTTTTAATAAAAATGCAAGTGTTGTTGAGGAATTACTGAATGTTTGTTGTAAAGCAAAATGATTTAATCACCACAAATGTACAAATGATTTACTCATTCATAAATACAGTTTATATTTTAATTTACAGACTTGTATCATTAATTATGACTTTTACTGAAAATGAAGTATTAACTACTGAAAGGTGTTTTGAAGAAATGTATACTCTAGGAACCCAGTAACTGGTGCAGTTAGCAATGAGTTTGTTCTTTAACTTACAAGTAAAAATAAATAGTGTCAGTTTACTCGTTCTGGACACAGGGTTCAGGTGTATAGCCCAGATGTGACAAGCTCAGTCCTGGGTCAAGGCACTAACCTGCTGTGATTAATGTTTTCTAAGACTGGTAAATCATCAGGTTGCAATTATTTGATCAGTGTATTCTTAGTGAAACCATGATTCCTAAAACTCTTCCTCTGAAGCTGATTTGCCACAGCTACACTGATTCTCTCCCACTTTGACATTTATGACAGACGGTGCTTGACGAAAGCTCTAAGCATCATCAAAGACCCCACCCACCCCAGCTACAGACTGTTTGTCACTCTGCCAACTGGAAAACAGTACCGGAGCATTCGGGCCCGGACTACCAGACTCAAGAGACAGTTTTTACCTCCGGACTATCAAACTATTAAACTCCCAGCCCTCACCTACATTCTGAACCCTCACAGTACCTTCTCTTTATCAAAACTCAAACACACATTGAAATCTACCTCTACCTCACATGTCAAGAAGTTCACTCCCCATAATTGTCTATCCTTTATTTCATTCTGTTGATGTATGATTTTGCACATCTGATGCTGTTTTGGACATTGCCTGTTGTCTCTGTCTTTTCTTTTTTTGTACTGCTTACCATCTGAGAGCTAGCTAAATGGCATTTAATTATACCATATACCTGTATATGAGTATAATGACGATGAACTTGAACATTAAATGAACAACCAGAAGGCATGAAATACTTAGGGGTTAGACTCAGAACAGGAAGATTATACAGCCTATCTTACAATATAACACTTTTTAAAGAAAAGTAATGGTCTATTGGTACTTTGGGATACAGTACACACTCTAAAAAGTAATACTGCATGAATCCCACTGCCTTTCCAAAGAGATGGTTTCTCTGACAGAAACTGACAGATAACTTAATATACATGATGACTAAATTTTATGGATCAAGGTAAAGGAGGCCTCAGACTTTGAGAAGTATACAAATATTTCATTATTTTAATGTAATCTGATTCTGAAATTAGGATATAGAATAATAATTCCTTATATAGTGCTTTTATGGATACTCCACTAAAAGCACTTTACAGGTAATAGGAACTCACATCCACCACCATGCAACGGCAGCCATAGTGTGCCAGTACACTCACCACACACCAGCTATCAGTGGTGAAGCTTTATTATTAGGATTATGAGGAAGCCATGACTGGTAATGGCCAATGGGAAATTTGGCCAGGATGCCGGGGTAACATCCCTGCTCTTTCCTATAAACGCCCAAGTATTTTTAATGACCCCAGAGAATCAGGACCTTGGTTTTACATCTCATCCGAAGGCACCTTTTTACAGTATACTGTCCATGTTGCTATACTGGGGCATTAGGAACCCACACAGACTGCAGGGTGAGCGCCCCTTACTGGATGCACTAACACCACTTCCAGCAACAACCTCTGTTTTTCCTAGGAGGTACTCCAATCCAGGTACTGGCCAGTGCATGAGAATAAGTCATAAAGATGACTTAGTAGGAGGTTATTAAACAGGAAGGTATTAGGTATTAGGTTATTCTGCTTTGGAAGCATAATGGATAAAGCTGAAATGTAGATAATGCCTTAATTCTGTGCAACTTTACAAGCAAAATGAACATCAATATTTAAATTTAATCACTTTTTTCCCTAACATACATATGTAGTACAATTAAAGTAATGGTTGATGCTTGAAAAATTACTTCTAGGAGTCAAGAAGCATTTGCCTTCTTGACCAGGACAAACCAAATGTCTATCAGACAATCAAATACTAATTAAGGTCTAGGAAGCATGGAATAGTTTTATCTCTAAATCCCCCTCCTAAAATGATAATGAACTGGAATTTATAGAATTACACTTTTTCTTAATATAATCTAATTAAATACCTTAAGGTCATTTCAGAGCTTGTGGGAGCAACACTAGCATTGTAAATGATTTTGTAAATAAGTGGACATATGTACTGTACATAAAAGTGTAATATGTGTTTGCAACAAATTCAGTCATTGCATGTTTTGGGTACCACATTTTCTTGAGATTTAGAAAGCTTAAAATGATACGTTTTGTGGTGTCAGCAGTGTGTTGGCATTCTAATACTATAATTCTTAAAATCTGGTGATGGACAGCTATGGACAAGGAGAATGGTCGTGGAGTTATTCTGAGTGTTTTGTAATCTAATCCTCCTTTACATCCTCTGGCATCTATGCTTAATCAGATGGAAATAGCTCAATCTGGTTATTTTTTTTAATTTTTAATCACAATAGGATATATGGTAGCCAAATGTTTATTTACAATCAACTGGGAGAATTAACATCGTAATACAGTAAATGACTTGAATAAATGCCTTCATGGATAATTAGAAGAGATGGCTGTGAAGAAAGCTGCCTCCAATTAAAAAGTAAGATTCTCAAACAGCCTGAGGGACAAGAATGAGACAACCAGATGAACCTCAATAATTTTATTACTGATCTGCATGCGCTGCCAAACCTTGTTACAATGGATTTCTTGGCCTCCACTGTCCTAAATAGTAGGTAAAGTATTTCACATCACCAAGTGCCCACAAATCCTTTCTACCACAGCCAATGCTGGCTGGCCATCTGTAATTAGCTCTAATGCCCTTGGTCAACAAGTTACCATTCCCTTCTATCAACCCATAATCCCAGCAAACACAAGGACAAAATTCAAGTATCAAAAGTGCATTATTGCAATACTGTCCCGCTGCAAATGCAAAATGCTTTAAATACTATAAAATTGCAAAATAGGAGGGGGGAAATGCATCACCATGTTCAACTCAAAAAAACCAAACAAACATCTTCCTCTGCTCCCTCTGAGGTTAAAGCAAAAATTCACGAATTCAGACGTCTCAGACATCTGGAGGTGATGCCATGACTTCTCGGTAAAAAAAGCCAAAAAAAAAAGCACTTGCCCCCCCCCACCCACTAATTAGAAAAGTTTAAATATTTATTTTTTTTTAAATCTCAATAAAAATGTAAAAAGTCCTTTTTGCGCAGCCTTCTCGCTCACTCTGCCTCTATCTGTTCTGTGCGGCTGTCACCTGTGTGCCCCCGAAGTCTTCCTCGTCCTCCAAGGTTCGTTTCAAACTGCCTGTGAAAGACAAACACCGAAGGCCGTCTCAAACGGGTTTTACTCCTCGCAATGCTTTCAGCCGGTTACCTAAGTGTGTGTGACCGTTTCTCTGTATGAACAAAACATAAAATAAAGTACCTCCATCAGCCACATGTATACATATTGGGCTTGGTCAGCATATTGACAGAAAAACACCTTTAGAACTTAACTCTTAACTCTAACCGTTATGGCTGAATAGTCAATTTTTTACCATCTTGTGATCTGTTTTATATAGGTCACTCAATCACCATGGATAAACACTGAAAAGGTAAGAAAGACATATAGCCCACCCTTTAAGAAAGACACCTTTGTATAAAGGTTCCCCCCTGTATATATATATAACCCTTGTTACTTGAGTCTATGCTCCTATAATAAATCATATTAATATGTTAGGGTTAGTTTACTATTCGGGATTTCAACAGTTACACCATGCAAAAAACTGCCACTCACATAACATGCCATAATCTGAAACCACAGCAAATCACATTATGAGAACATGCTGTGAAAATACAAAAAAAAAAAAACAGGCCCCAGAAAAACAGCGATTGCTATGTTTCTGAGCAAGTCGTAACTATTGATAGTGATGCTAGAAGATACACAGTAAGTGGACCACATAATGTATGTTTTTAAAAAGAGCCCATAATTAATAGTTCCTTAAAAAGTACTTTCATCCCAAATAACTCTAAAAGCTCTTGATATACAGGAGGGCTCGGCTTCATCCACCACTGAAGTAGTGGCACGTCTGCAGCACCACTTCACAGCATACAAGGGAGGAACTGCTCCACCAGTTCAGGGGGATTTTAATGCAGGCCGAAATGTATGTGCCCAGTGCTGAATACCAGGATTAACACCACAACCAGTGCCCTGGAATCGCTAATGACACAGGATCTTGTTTTAATGCCTCATCCAGAGGAGGAACATTCTTATAGCACAATGCCCCTTCTAACCACAAAGGTACACTGGTTTAGAAGCTCTGGTCCAGAGAAAGAAGTGACACTCTACCGGTCCATCAACACCTTTGTAAAGACGCAACCAAATTTTCTGAGACCTATCCCATCCCATCCCTGTTCCCATGAACAGGCTTCTCTTAGCTTCCAAGGTCTGGTGAGTACTTGAAAATGTGTACCAAAAAGGGAAACCATTTGCCTGCTAACCTCCATAAAACGGATCAGCTGTACTTTTCCCATCCAGAGTCCATAAAGTTATAGCTTTTATGATGTCCTTTCTAAAACATTAAGTTTTAAGTCACTTATGTCTTATGACATAAGTACACTGACTGGATATTCCCTCAAACCTGTTGCTTGGGCCAGGAATGCATTCTCCATCAGATCAAGGAAAGCAAGGAACAGAAGTTGTCAGCAGATGCTTAGTGTAGCAATATCATAAAAGCAATGTACAGACCATTACAAGTCAGTACACCAGTGACAAGTTAAACAGGTAGTGCATGTTTTGAATGTACACATTCTATAAAATAACCAGTTCTTATACCCTCCACAATCATGTTTTGATTGCTTTGTTGAAATAAAACAGAATAAAATGCAACTGACCTGGCATCCCAGCCTGCACTGAAAAAGATCGGCCAAGCTGGATTGGGGACATCATTTTAATGGTGAGTTTGGCTAGATATATTGCCTCATATTCCTGCAATAGAACGAAAATTACTACTTACAAAATGATCAATGTGAATTTGATAAAATAGGATGAAGAATATCTATTTTAACTGTACAGAATATGAATGTGCCCTAATTCTTTCTGCATACATCCTAGAAGAGCTGTTTTCATGCTGTTATTTTCTGATATCCTACTTGACCTTACAGATGTAAGGGTCTGATGAAAAGGTGCATATGTGCTCAGTTGTGGTATACAGTAACATATATAATAATATTATACAACACAGTTAAACAACAAAACTTGTGGAGAAATTAACAAAAGCCATTGTTTTCTAAAGATGCTAAATTAAAGACTCTTGCCTGTAACTGATGAACAAATCCCACGTTGGGGTTGATGCAAAATCTTCTCTCTTGAACATGGCTGAAAGCATCCCTGTGTGGTTACATAATTATTAACTCAGTATAGATTGTACAGATCAAAATGATTATTATTGAAAGTGTGATTAATCATAAATATAAACTGCATTAATAAAGACAGGAAGGTTAGTTAGGTTCCCTTACCTGTAGTTTATACCAAATGTTTCCATCAGGTAAGCAATTACTAAGGCAGCACTGAAATAAAATTACAAATTTAGTAAGTGAAGCACATCAGTACATAAATTAGTTTGGGTTCAGAGAGTCTGTGTATATAAACAAGGATAAGAACCTAAGAAAGTGTGTGTCATTTATTTGCACTTATCAAAATCAACTTTACAGTAAAGGAATGTGAGAAACAAAATTGTTTAAGAAAGAAGAATACAATTTTTTGTCACTGTAATTAAAAATCTACTACAGAAGGCTGACTAACCTTCTAGAAATCCCTGCATTCCCATGAACAAGCACCTTTCCTGCCAAGAAAGGAAATGTAGTTAGTTTTTACAACCCTACTGTAGTCAACAGTGCCCGTGACATTGCCTCACTGGATTCAAAAGGAAACTACGTACACTGAAACTACATTCACGTCACTGAAACATGTCTCTGCCAGATCACAGTAGTAACACACCATCATCAAACAAGCAATGTTCAGTACCTCCAGACTGTAAACAGCCATCAATGAACTCTTTAGTCTAGAAAGAAAAGAACACAAATGAAACAACAGGAAAATGGCTTAAAACAGTTTGAATTATGTGGAAACCAACATTTTTAACTCACCATTGGGAAATACCTAATTATATTCTCCACTGGGTTATCTGCAATATCTAAGACCAGATATCTGAAAATGTAAAAATTTGAAGAATATTAATAGAAGCAACATTTTATAACCACATCAAAATGTGCAGCGCCAGGAAAAACATGCAAAAGTAAAATAACAGGTTTCAGAAGACCACAATTATTTCACAAAAGCACAGTGCCAACAATAGTGTATTGAGAGACTGTGAGAAGTGTTTTACATGACCCAAACCAGGACCTCTGAAATTGAGATACAATTTCATGGCCGAATGTAACTGCAGTGGTAGACATTTTACTTCTATTACTTATAAAAATCTACCTTGTGCCCTTAAGCAGAAGGTAAAATCCAGAGGTTTTGTCAGATTAGCAATTTAATTTGCCCTTATCGCCCATTGTTCCTTCACAACTTACTAGCAACGTGATGAAAAGACATGCCCCTTCAGTCATATTAGGATTCAGTTTTTTCCTCTTTATGCAGTACAATCCCAGAAAAAAAAGGTCTCACCTAAATTTTTCAGGAAAGTTGGGTTTGATGAAATTAGCTTCGATGTCTTGTCTGACACAAACTACATGAGTTATTCCCTGCTTCTCAAGGACAGGAAGCTGAAAGAAGAAAGCATGTTATTCACACTACCTGAAATTCAATCTACATTGAAGAACTTGGGGTTGATATTTGATCCAGGCTTGACTTGTGACAAAGGTGCCAATTATTGTGAAAACATCATTCGTCCACCCCAGAAATCTGGTCAGACTGCGTCCTATGTTCTTGTTAAGTGTACCTGAAAAGCTAGTCAACACTTTTGTTTTCTCTCGTATTGATTACAATAATGTACTACTCGCTGAGGTATCTAAATACAAACAGAACAGACATCAGTATGTCCAGAATTATGCAGCCAAAATCCTGACCAGGTCTTGTGCAAGTGATCACATTACTCCTATCCTGAAGTCCTTGCACTGGCTTCCTATTAGTTTTCATGTTCCTCGTGCTCACCTATAAGGCTATACATGGATTGGCACCTCAGTACCTTTCTGACTTCTTATCATCATCATCATAATAATAATTGCTTACACTTATATAGCTCTTTTCTGGACACTCCACTCAAAGAGTTTTACAGGTAATGGGGACTCCCCTCCACCAATGTGCAGTATCCACCTGGATGATGTGACGGCAGCTCACCACACATCAGCTATCAGTGGGGAGGAGAGCAGAGTAATGAAGCCACTTCATAGATGGGGTTTATTAAGAGGCCATGATTGGTAAAGGCCAATGGGAAATTTGGCCAGGACGCCGGGGTTACACCTCTACTCTTTTTGAGAAAGCCCTAGGGATTTGTAATAACCACAGAGAGTCAGGACCTCGGTTTTACATCTCATCCAAAGGACGGCACCCGTTTACAGTATAGTGTCCCTGTCACTATACTGGGGCATTAGGACCCACATGGACCACAGGGTGAGCGCCCCCTGCTGGCCCCACTGCAAGCTTTTGGAGGTCTCACATCCAGGTTCTAACCAGGCGTACACCTGCTTAGCTTCAGCGGGTTGCCAGTTGAGAGTTGTAGAGTGATATGCTGGCCTATCATCTTACTCCACACCTCACAGTCTTCTCTCTGTGCTATCTACATGCTATGGGTGACAGGGCCTTTGCCTGCTGCGCCCCAGAGCTCTGGAATTCTATCCCTAAGAATATCAGAGAGTCACCTTCCCTTAGTTCTTTCAAATCAAGACTCAAAACCTTCTTCTTTAGAAGAGCTTTTTTAAAATTGTTTCTATGTCTGCCCCTTTGCTTTCCTACTTCCAGACCCTTATTGTACTTGTGGAACTCTGCAGTGTCCTCTCATTGTGTGCTTTCTTTACAGTGGGGAGCCACTTTTAAAGGCACTGTATAAAATAAAGTTGATCATTTATTACTATTTATCAATCAACAAACCTTTACATTAATTTCCAAACATAATCTTGATAGGTTTTTGTTGGAAGTTAGAAAGTTGAAGGAAACAAAAATGACAGATTTATATCAGTCCAACTCAGAGACATAAAATAGTCATCATATATCCAAATCCTGTGGCTCTCTGAAACAACACATTTACACATGTCAATGCCCTACAGAAAAGTATGGATTTACTAATAAAATCTATCTATATCTAAATGTATGTCAAAGCACAGTATCAATGAGTTTGGTTTCTGCTCGAATAATACCAGAAATATTTTTTTCCTCAATATCAACCGAAAACAAGTGTTTCAAAAGTCCATGATCCCATTATCCATTCAGGCCAAAAAATATAAAAGCCAGTTAAACACTCATTCCCTTTCTCCATTTCTGAGGATAACCTTACCTTGCTTTTCATGGCTGCTGAATAAGGGCCTAAAAACAGTCCAGGCAATATTTCCTAAAATAAAGAAGAAATATTTCTGAATTCTAGGCAGTATTTTATATACTTTTACATAGTAAAATCACTAAACAGCTGGTCAAAGGCTAAATGACATTTCTGGGTGCATGAAAAATATAACTACTGCATCTTGGTTATTTTTTTTCATGATTTTATGAAAAATTATCTAATTAATTTTGGGGCCAATCTCTTGGCACCGCTATGTGGAATTGTGAATGTAGCATTTTATACTTACCTGCATTTCTCTTCTCATAGGGTATGCCCAGTCCTAAAAATATTAATAATTATTATAAATATAAATTTGTAGTTGTAAACAAAATTATTGGAACACTTCCCCCAGTATCACAACACTTGAAAACAAAAGTGATTAAAAGTCAAGTTCTGGATATAGAGCGATTAGCATTAAAAACACAAGTGCAATATATTCCAATACTCATTTGCTGCGTTTTTAATGTATCTTAAAAATATAAAAATCCATTAAAAAACATTTTACAGTTAAATAGATTCAGAAGTACTAGATATACAATAGCGAAATGTTTTTACCTCACAAAACCATCATCATTACACACATTAACCTCGCAACCCTCTCGAATCACGCATTTTTAATACTGACTGCATATTATGCATTCCGAAAGCAATTTTTAAAACACCGTATTTTATCAAAAGATTAATAAGCAGCAGATGACATGCAAGTTAAAACGTCTCTGTTTAAAACCTTAATCCAAGTTTCAGGCTTAACGCGAGACGAAAAACAGATTTAAAATGATTTGTCTACGTGAAACGCAAGCTTGGTCGCCAGCTACAATAAACACGAAATGAAAAAAGCGAAGAGAAATATTACATTAATATAAACCTGAGGATTACCTCAAGAGAATTTGCTAATTTTTTAAACAAATGCATATTGTCACTCAAAATTATAGGTTCATAGAAGAAATACAGCTCACGTATATACAATTAGATAAATACCTCAGTAGTAGGAACGGACACATAAGTAGTGGGCAGTTTGTGACATTTCGCCTCTCTTACCAGTGTGTCTTCCTTGGAGGTAGGCAGGGTCGGGAACTGAAGTTTGAGCTCCTCATCCATACTGCGAATATTTCGGGCGGCAGCGGCCCGGGCAGCGGCAGCGTTACCGGTGACTGTGTTATTTGGACACGGGATAGCTGTAGTAATGCCGGAGTCGGAGTTTGTTTAACAGCTCCACATGCATAGCCGCCATGCTTCTCCAGAGCAGGAGAGTCACGTGACCAACATCCCGGCTTCCACAGTTAGGGTCTGTCTCGCAGTTACCCGAGACAAAGAAAGCAGCGTTCAGAGGATTCGAGCGTGCTAGGGAGCATCTTACAATTCTCTACGTTATTTAAATAAATAACATTTTAATTGGATTGTCAGATACCTTGTACGTTAGCTATAAGTACACAGGTCAATCAGAAGAAACACGTTTGAATTAGATCATCTGTAGCGCAAATATCGTTTTTTTTTCCAGTTATCCCAGTGGCTGAGCATTACTGTCACCCATGAAACTGATGATGACTGAAAAGACCAATACAGGTCCTGTACTCTCTGAAAGACAGAGCAGGTGCTGTCTCTGGAGATATCCAGTTGTATCCTGGGGAATCCATTCATGGTTTGACACTCTCCCTTTTCTTCCTTAGTCTGACATCTTTAGATCTCACTGTACTGCACTTCTTTCTACAAATTCTTCCACCATTTGGTGCTGTTGAGGACCATCAACTCCTGTGAGTGGAAACTAATGGTTTATGTCTTAATGTTTGTTTTACTATATTTTTTAAAACACTTCTTCTGTCTTCAGGTATGATTGCCTTGGTGAAGCCTGGAGAAGAGGACCTTCTTTGAGAGCCTGAAGTCTGACATCCACATGGCCTCGCCAAACCGATGGAGCTAATGGTGGAGGATGTTCATAGTTTGAATGCTTGTGGTGCTGCCTGGGAGAGAATACTGGTGTTGGTGTGTCTGTCCTCTCATTTGATAAGTAAAATCTTCTGGAAACAGCCGGTGGCAACTCAATTTCTTTTTCAGCACCTCCTGTATGTTGTTCATGTTTCATGCCTGCCCAGTAGAATAGAAAGGATGGTTTTACAGTAGGCCATCACTTTAGTTTCACTTCTGATGTTGTTAATCTCAAATACCCCACCTTAATTATATAATTGAAGACTATTGAACATTATTTAAGTCAATTAAGGTTTAATTGTGTAAATAAGGGCTCGGCTAGAACAAAAATGAATAGGTAAGTGGATCAACAGGACCAAGATTGGGAAACACTGCTTTAGACTCTCATCATGAAGCAGAATTGATGGCACTGGGGTATGTGTATTTGGATTCTTCTGAATATTATGTGCAAGTCCCAACACCTCATAAACCTTAATAAACATTTGACTATAGTCTGGTGATGCAGTTCTGTCAAGAACTTTTCAAGGCACAAAATTCAGCATCAGCAGCATAGTGGAGCTCGAAGACTTAAGTCTGGTTTAGACTTGAGTCATTAATTTACTATTTAGTAAATTGTCTGCACCTGTACTACAGCTTAGTTTTCAAATAGAGCACAACATTCAGAAATACTGAAAAGAACTGAAGTGTACTCCTGTATCATTTAAAGTCCAGATCAACCTCAGGTAACATGCTGACTTTATGCTTAGGAGCATCCAGACATCACCATCCTGCCATTGTCAACATTAGCTGGCTCCTGAAGGAGTTGGACTTACTGGGGATGGAAGACGCTTGCACATGACATCTTTTATTGTGAGGAACTATTGCACACCTGTTTCTTGACTTTGACCCAATAGCATAGAAACTGACAACTGGAAGTCTCATTCTTTTATTAGTCAGATCCACCACTGAGATATTACAAATGGTTCCTTTCCTTCCGTTTTGCTGTTCAAGAGATGGTTGCGGGAGCCCTATTTGCCAAGTATGGAGGATGCAGGAATCTTCACAGGCCTTCATGTTACCCAGAAATCACAATGAGGATGAGGTGTGGACTTTGGAACCTAACAGACAACTATAACCTAATATGAAGCCTAAACTCATAAGGTCCATTGGTACCTCTCGAAAAGTAGTTTTTAGAATTATAATGTCCAAGAATAGTTTTAGCTCAGTTTTAGTTACAATTTTAAAAGAACTACTAGCAATGGAAAGGCAGTTCTAAGAAGAGATCCCTTCCAGTAGTATTTTGTCTCTCGAACTTTATTAATAGGACCTAAAAATTGTAGCCTTACATAAGAAAAATCTGATGGCATTACCAAAAAACAATCGTATTTAAGTTAAATCAAGGTACATGACCCCTCTAATAGGCAATAAATATTCACTGTAGGACTGTAACACCTGTGATGTGTTAAAAGACAAGAGAGGCTAGAAGGAGTCTGCCTGTAATTCTCTCCTGTGAGTGTGGGGGTTGTTGCCATGTAAAAAATGTGAGTGTGGGGGAGTTGAGATGTAAAAAATGGAAGATGGGTGATTCTGCAATTGAGTGTATATAACAAAACACAAGTTGGTATTATACTTGCATGAACTTCTAAGCACATCACTTAAACCTTTCTTTGTCAGAAAATATGTAACTGGACATGACCATCACAATGTTAAAGCTAGAGAAATTAAGATAATACTACAGGGAATACAGAAGTTTATCAATTTTATTCTTTGCTTCTGAAACTTTCAATGACTGTATTTTACATGGCGTACAAAGTCAACCTGGCATACAGATTTCATAGAAAGTATACATAGGAGATAGATACAAATGTTCAATTCAAACAGAACAATCCATGCCTCTTAAAAGATAAAACAATACCTTTACTCTCAGCAGAAATTTAATTTCAATGTTTTGAGACAAAGAAACATGACAGATCCAATGAACACCTTTGTATATTCAATCATCTTTGAGGTTACCTGATGGAATTGTAATTACATAGAAATGGCATAAAATGTAAAATAGGAAGGACATTAAGTGGACAGGTTTTCAGGATAACCATATTTTCCATGGACCTGGGGAAAATAACAAAACCTGTTGTTTTATGCTACAAAAAACACCATAGTATTAACTTTAATTGCCAAAGTTAGTGGTTTGCTAAACTCTACAACTGTATATTTCCAATAAAATACAGTACAGAAATCTCAAACTTCCCATTTTCTTTATGTTTTGATAATTGGTTTTAAAGGTATGCCCCATGCAAGCAGAATCACTCCTGAAGGAAGGGGTACAGCGTTATACAGGTTTGTAATCCAGCTTGGATTCCAATTTCTTTGAATCAGCCACCTTGCGCACAGCTTTCATGAAGTCTTCCTGAGTTACATAATCATTATCAGCACGGATTGCAAACATGCCTAAAGAAAACAAAAAAACAATACATCAATATTTGTGAATGATTTGATGGATGCCTTTCTGTACTAACTGACAAGTATGCTTGTGGCCATGCCACATTCTGTGACTGCCCACCTCACCTGCTTCAGTACACACGTTTCTCAGATCGGCTCCATTGAACCCATCTGAAAGCTTGACAATCGCTTCATAATCTGCAAAGAAATGGATAAAAAGGTCTGAAGAGTTGTGCTTCACTAGAAAAGATCTGGAAAAAAAAGTCTACAACTAAAAATGCACATGAGAAATATGAACATACACACAAATTTAAAATAAAGTATAAAAGGAGCAAATTCATCCTTAACCAGTATAAAGTACTGCATCTCAGGACTAAAATATGGAGTATAGATTTTGGGAAGCTCCAACTCATTTTGCTCTCATTATTCCTGTCCTACAATTAAAATGCCAACAGACCTATATCTCCATGCTTGGTAATAGGGCCTGAGTGAATCTTCAGGATGTCCAGACGTGCCTGTTCATTGGGCAGTTCAATATCTGAAGAAAAAGATGATTGAACATGAATTTATGTTCTGCAGCTAAATTTGTCCCATTTCCTTACATGTTTCTAACAAACACTATTGTAACAAACACTTGAATCTGTACCTTTTAAATATTTAAAAAAAAATATATACACTTATAAATGAAATAATTCTGCCAATCTGAATTTACATTTCGTTTTTGCAAAGGTCTCCAAAGGTTTTAGACTAAGATATGTTGCCAAAGTCATTCTTCCCACAGAACCACGGCTGCAGTTGGAAAAACATGAAATAAACTGCAAACATGGTGAAACGTTCCAAGGCGCAGAGTGACCTCACTAGTATTACACTCATCCACCAGGTGTATAACCAGAAGGATGAGTGTGTTAGACAGTAGCAGCTGACATACGGATCTTGCGGTCCAGCCTTCCAGGGCGAAGGAGAGCAGGGTCCAGAGTGTCAGGGCGATTTGTTGCCATGATCATCTTGACTCTGTGCAAAGTGTCAAAACCATCCATCTGATTCAGGAGCTACAGAACAATACACAGAACACAAGTCACATAAAAACCTGCAACCTCGATTACACCATAAGCTTTCATCTCTCTCTGGAACACCTCTGCTTACCAGAAAAGACACTTAAAGACTAAAGTAGCAACCTGTTTTTTTATATGCTATTGCTTCCTGATATCTATTAATGATAATTAAAAATAAAATGTTTCAATGACAATTCCACTGATCAAAAGAAAATATTGCTATACACAGCATGGCTTAAAGTCTTTAAATGGCCAACAGAGGACACTATAATGTAATTCACGAATCCACATAACTACAGTATTGTGTAAATCTACAGTATTATTTGCAGTACATCAACAGTGAAAGCTGATGAAGATAGAAAGGCTTATAGGAAAAGCACCTCCATCAGCGTCCTCTGTATCTCGCGGTCTGCAGACGTTCCCTCGGAAAATCGACGGCCCCCTGGAAACAGCATCACATGAACACGGTACAGCATACTGCAGCAGTAGGTATACATCTTCTTACCAATTTGCAAGATAATTTTTCTTCAGGTATATTACATTTAAACTTGGCAAAAAAGCCCTGGTGTTTACAAAAAATATTTAATAAATCCTACAAAAGGCATTTCATTTAAGAGTTTAAGTAGGCAGCTGTGTCAGCATGCGTAGGCTGCAAAGGAACAAGTAAAGGTTTATTCCACGTTGAAAAAGAGAAGAAAAGAAACGTTTCGGTTCCCGCCTCGTCTCCACTCCCTGCCCTTTTTCTCCCATGCTTTATCAGCTGCCAATTTCCCCCTCTCTCACACCCCAAGAAGGCTCCACAGCCAAAACTGTGTTTCTTTTCTTCTCTTTGCAGCGTGGGATAAACCTTTACATGTTTCATTTAAAAGGCCTGTAGACGTATTAAGGTATCTATGAACAAAATGACCTTATAACCAAATAATTTGTATTTACAAAATGGCTAAAACTCACAGAAATTTTATTTGAACTTGTTTTATTTCAGAATACTGCTCTATTCTACGTTTTTAATATTAGTTAAAAGTGTAAAATTAGCCTTTGCTCATACCAATGGCATCAATCTCATCCATGAAGATAATGCATGGTTGATGATCCCTGGCATAGTTAAACATTTCTCTGATAAGCCTTGCACTCTCTCCGATATACTTGTCCACAATGGAACTGGACACCACCTGTGCAAAGAATCATATAATAAATGTTTTCAGTAGTATAGTCACATGATCACATTGTAATGCCACTGTTTCCACGCCCTTAGGATTTTAATTCAATAAACATTAATTGACAAATAGTTGGAAAATGGGAATTCTTTCCAAATAACTACCAAATGGACTAGCTGAGCTTATTGGCTTCCTCTTATTTGCAGCCTTTCTTATGTCCTTAAAAGTAATCAATGATAAGAAGCATGTCAACTGATGTGACTGATACTTTGGATGTTGAAATAAAAATCATGTTGCTAATTTGAGTGTAGAAAACACCTGGCCAGCAATGCGTTCTTCTTTTATGAAAACAAAAAACTAAAATCATAGCAAGTGAGCAACATTAGAAAATTCAAAGGGGGAACAAGTGCTGTACCTTAAGGAAATTGCAATCAAGTTGACTGGCAACAGCTCTAGCCAAAAGTGTCTTTCCTGTACCTGGAAAAAAGGCAACAAAGGGCAATAGTATCTGGGATGCTTTGATTGTTGACAAAAAGAAAATATATTAAATATTAAACTTAAGAAAAAAATATAGAAAGATGTATCCATTTTAATTGAAAAGTCAGCTATAAAACATATCAGATGATTTCAGAATGCATGAAACATGTTGAAGCGGAATAAATAAAGAGGAATGCTCTCTTAATGTTGTTTGATGTGTTTTCCATAATTTTCAAAACACATAGGAGCCATTGGCATGCATACCTAAGCAAAATCTTTAATATTAGATAATGTGTAGGTATTAACAAAAACTAACCTGGTGGTCCGTAAAGGAGACAACCTTTAGGAGGGATGATTCCAACACGCTGGAAGAGCTCTGGGTTTGTCAGTGGCAATTCAATCACCTGCAGTATAACAAAACTCTAATCACATGACACATTCCAATCTGTATTCTTTCCAAATATATATTTTCGACTGATTGCTATTAATACAACCCAAGACATTTAGCCTCACAAGGCACCTTTCTCTTACATTTTTATTGTCGATATAAACTCTGAATTACATTTCATAGGTTTTTGCAGCAATTGACAATGCCGAGTTAACACATTGTAGGATAAATCGTGAACTGGATATTACAATAAATAAATACTCTAAAGGTCTCATTCAATATTATACTGTGGGCTTAAATCTTTTTTGTAACTTAAAAAGAAAGCTATCCGACATCATACCTCTCGGAGTTCTCGGATCTGTTCCGACAATCCCCCAATCTCAGAATATGAGACACTTCCAGGATCTTCATGGGACATGTTGTACACCAGGGGGTCTACCTCTCTGGGCAGATACCTACAGAAGCAAGGAGAGCAACGTTTTAAGAGTTGGAATAGCCATATACTATTGGCAAGCAGTCATTCAAAGAAGGTGTGCACCCATATTGTCTTTGATTAGGACATGTAACTCAGTCACCTGAGTATAAAGAAAAAATCCCAACCTCATGATAGTCAAAGTCGTCATGTCCAGAGCCACTCTTGTCCCAGGTTTGAGCTTAGATTTGTCCAGCTGCACAAAAAAAAAAGAAGCAAACACTACTTTACAAGGTTCTTCTGTATTAAAATCAAGACTTAGAATGATGTATTGGAATCCCTATGCCCTTGAAAGCCACATTAAACAACTCAATATAACAGTCAATCTCCATCATAAGAGACCCTAGTACAATAAGTACAATAAAGTTTTTTTTAAATATGTTCTCATTTATAACATCTAATAAAAAATGCTCAACACTGCTGAGGTTAAAGCAGAGATCACTTAATTTCACTATTGTGGCAAATAGTGGGAAGATAGAATTACAGAATGTATACAACCAATTCCTTCGCATTCCTGAATATGATTCTTGCTGCTCAAACAGTTAAACAGGAAATTACCCAGGTAGAACAAAATATATTTAAAGCTGGTCATAATAGGATAATGTGGAGTTTGTTTATGAGATGTCACAAGTGAAAAATCATTTTATATCAGTGATTCGCCCGAATCAATGGGAAAAAAGAAAAATGCTATGCTTACCTGTCGACGGCAGCCAACAACATATCGTGGGCCATTTGTTGCCTTGACAATAACTGAAAGGTAACGAACATCCAGATATTGCGAAATTGCATATTAACAGAAGATAAGTGGCATTTCATGTCAGAAAACCTAGATTAAAACTAATAATTTCCAGAAAACAGAATATGCTTGTGTACTGAAAGTTGCATTTAGATTTTCTATACTGCATTTGGTTTGAGAGAGTTTTTCATGTAATGAATTACTGGAGGTGGTGTCATTTTTCCATATTTATTCTTCTAACAAGTTTCTAACCTACTTAATAATCAAGATTTACATTAAAGATTAAGATTACAGAGACAATGCCTGACTGTATATATCCAATAAGTTGATACTTGATTTGTATACATATGTACATGAAAAGGGTTAACCTATCAAAGGTATTAATATAAGGAAACAATAAGATGACAAAAGCATTCTGCACATGGCTTATATTGAACTTACATTTTTCTTCTGTCAACTGCTTGAGGACCTCCCCGACAATCTGAAAATAAAGAACACATTAATTCATATGGCTGAATGTTAAGATGTTTATAAAAACATCATAGTACAGCCAGCAAAGTATTGTCCCACTTTTTATTTAAATGGATATTTCCTTAACTGGTCAAAGTAAAAGCTCCACAAAACCATGGAACCAGAAACACATTAGTAAACGAATGGTCAGATGGGTATTCAGCATTCCAAAAAACACATTCAGACCATATTATGACCCTGCCATGGGACATTTCTTACAGATCTCCCTACACTGTGTGTAAGTAATGCCAATTGAGATTTTAAAAGGATATAATCTGTAGACCTGTACCTGCTGACTGTTTTCAATTACATAGTCTACAGCACAAAAGACGTAGTAACAAATTACAGATCAATTTAAAAAGAATTTCAGGTCACATATAATAATATATGTAATAATATCTAAGTACAGACAAAGCAACACAGATGAAGAACATATGTAAAGCCTAAATTATCATCTAGCTCTTTAATCTAAATGTAACTTGAAATGTTAACCTTGAGTCTACTATCCTGTGAGAGCAGTTATATTTAAAATACATACAGCAAGTTAATATTATCTTACCTGGCCAACGCTTTGCAAAGCTTTTAGGTCATTTTCGGACTTCTCATATTGCTTTGTAAGTTCTTTCAGCTGTTCTCTCACTGAAAATAATAAATCGTTAGCACGGAATGTAAACGCGAAGTGCAATGTAAAAAATAAGGTTTACCTAGTTCATTGTAGGTTTGAGAGCCCACTTGGATCAATGATGAACTGTGTAAAATATCTAAGCAACGGACTAGCAACGATACGTTTTATATAAAGTAAATACGTACCCGAAAATGTTTGGTAACTACCTTAAAGACGAAAGCACACATTAAATGTATTGTAATTTGTGTGAAAACCATTTCGTCGATTATTAAACTAAAAAATACAAAGTATATTTGAAATACAGGAAAGGCAAGCCATTTTGTAAAAACACACAAAACAACTTTCAGATTCCATCTCACATTAAGGCCATCTGGCTTGAACGGTAATTTGGTAATACAATGATTGAAAACTACACTCTTAAGACTATTATGAAGATTTATTATTGCGCATACGAAGCAAAAGTATTCAATTCACAACCAGCAGCAATGCCTACTACAATTCCGTAATGTCATTTTCGAATCGGAATGAAAATGTTTTGAATACTAATATATTTCAAGATATGTGAACACAAACCTATGCAATTTCTAAAACATATATTACACCCTTTTTGAATAAAGTATCTTTATTCCTTTTCCAATACGTTTATATTACGACAAACAACATGACAGTTATTTACACACACGGGTCCCAATCAATGGATGGCTGGATGACAAAGCGAGTTGGCAAATTTTGACTCAGTCTCGCTCAATTTTTGTCTAAAATAAACAAGCGTAAAACCTACGCCCGAAAAAATACGATTTTAGAAACACTGAGTTTGAAAGTGAAACACGTACATTCTTTGAGACGCCCGTCAATCTCTTTGTGCTCCAGTAATTTCTTCCTGTAGTCTTGCAAAGCCTTCTCCCTAGGATCCGCCATGTTGCATTGACCGGCAGCACCCCCAGAGAATTCTGGGATCGACGTCGCTATAAGTGAATGCTGGGATAGATATGAAAAGATTTGGAGGTCTGTGATGCTAGGTAGAGGCAGTTCTCAGTCCTGTCGTGTTTACATTCAGATAATTAAATTTAAGACTTAAAAGTTTTATGTTAAAAATGGATCACAACATAAAAATGTTTAAAAAGGAAACTTCAGACATTACTGCCTCGTTGATTAGGGGGCAGGAAGACCCCTAATTTCAAATTAAATTAATAATGGCTGGTTATACAGAGACGTACAGGTAGCACTTATCTTTAAAAATGAAAAGTTTTAGAAGTTATGGGTGACTTTTATCCTTGCTTCAAATATTAAAAAGTAAATTGTTAGATCGCTGTTCAGAGAAGTAAACATAGGTGAAATGACAAATCTATTTTTTTGCAGCCAATCGGAAAAGAATTTAAACTTCCAGTACCACGAAAAATATTTGCTTGAACACTTATACTGAATAGACCTACACCCACGTGATAAATATTCAAGTTGATATCCCACGTGATGGGAGGCCATTGTGTGCGTGCAGTTAGAGAAAACCAGCTTCGTGTTTCCCTGAATCTGCCACAGAAGTCCACCTACTCATTTACTCCTCTTCAGTTAGCAGTGGACTAACACCTACAATTACAAAGGACGTAAAGCTAAAATAGACCGTAGAAATTAAATTTCCATTACAAAACTTGCTTAATTGTTTGAAATAATCAAAATCGCTTATCTCTGATGAGCTGAAATTGTGCATTGTAGAAGTAATGAAAACATGAACGTGAACATGAAAGTGCATTTCCAATAAGAGAACAATTCAGTCCCTGAATAGGTGCGATAAAGGCGGAAAGCACGTAATTCACGTCCCAGTATGAGGCAATAGGAAGTAACTGGGCTTGTTTCTGATGTCGTGGCTTCATCAGTAGTAGAACAAGCGCAAATTGACTTTTTATTGGGAATTGTAGGGGCAGTAACGCCCATATGCTACACGTTCACTGCAAAGTTAACTTGTCGAGCTGGGGAAGGTTGGATCACTCTGATTTAAACTGGTTCACCACTAGAGTTTGAGGTAATACGACACGAAGTCGGTAGCGAAGCACTATTGGACTATATTTTCTGCGAGGACCAGGACAACAGAGTTTAAGATGACGATGAGATTTAAATTAAAGCTGTTTGTATTATTGGGGTCCCTGCTCTGTCTCCATACGTCACAGGACTTTTACCCGGGTTCCGCCGAGCACAGGTGTTTCTGTCAGGTAAGGCAATTATTAGTTATGCATTTCTGTATATATTAATATATTTAAACATACCGCAAAGAAAAAAAATACAGTACGGCGTATGGGTGCATTTTACTCAATGATTTGCAGTCCTCCAAACATACAGGCTATTTGCTTTTTCATAAGTGTTATATGTTTCTGTAGTTAAACATCAACCTAGTATCCAGTTTCTAGAAGAAAGTGTTTATTTCTTTATACTTAAGTAATCTTAGTACAGAGATGCTTTATACGACTGCGTTTGTTGCTTCGTTGAATGTTATCGTTGATATTGTGGGCACGTTAAATGTTTTTCAGGTGCTTTTTCACGGATGCCCTAAACATCTAAAAGCACTTTAAACTAGAAATTCAATCCACCCTACAAGTGTTTGCAGAAAAAGTACTTTATTTAACAAATATGGAAATATTTGCTATGGGTGTGAGGAAGCTGCCCTTTACAGATTGCATTAATAATGCTGCAGTATTTAAACTCTTGTTTTTTGTTTTTTGAAGGCGTTCCTACCAAATCCTAATGGTAGGAGTGAGGGAATTAATACGGTTTAGTCTGTAAAGCTGAATGTACACTGTGTTCCTAACTTTGAAGGTAACAGGACACCTGGATGACTGCACGTGTGATGTGGAAACCATTGATACCTTCAACAACAACCATCTGTTCCCAAAGCTGCAGGAACTCCTGAAGATGGATTATTTCAGGTTTTATAAGGTAAAATTAAATTGTAGCCTGTTAATCTATGATAATTGTTTCAGAGAGCAGTACAATGCATATTTCATTTTAAAAAATCAACACTAAAAATTCAAAAGTTGTGGTGTTACATCTTTCCTCACTGAGCTAATGATCTGAAGTGTGCTTGATTCTTGCCCTGCTGTTACTCTCTAAGGTCAATCTGAACAAGCCTTGTCCTTTCTGGACTGATAGCAGCCACTGTGGACTGAGGGACTGTGCTGTCAAGCCTTGTAAACCAGTGAGTACACTTAAAAGGGTCTGCTGGTTAGATCTTGCTATATGCAAGTGATTAATGCTATGGACTTTTATCCCAGTTGTAAAAAGGCACTTAAATCTTTACTTTGAAATTAACCACATGCTGACCATCCTGCATGGAATTACCTACTGTGAGTGTGTCATTTGTCCTTTCAATGAATTTTTTAATTTAAAAACAGTATTTACATATATTTTGTGACTTAATACACAAGGCAGAGAAGTATTCATTTTAATTTATTTTTCATTTTTATTTCATTTCAATTCATTAACATTAAATAATTTAATAATTGAAATGGCAACGTCTTTCATGTTGATCATATAATGATGAAATGATGAAGAAAGCTTTTTTTTTCAAAAAAAGGTGTGGAGTGATTTGACTTCAGACTTTGAAATTTAAAATTAATCTACATGACAAACGTGATTGTAAAAGAAGAAAGTGAGATTGAAGCAGAGTGCTAATTTTCCTATTTTGTTCATTTTTAGCACATTTTAAAGAGGTTGTTTCAACTAAACTGATTTAAGGATAATTTTTATACCTTAAATAATTTTCTTTAGAAAAATAAATCAAGATCAGGTTTATTAATAGTGTTTTTTTGCAGAATGAAGTACCAGATGGATTGAAGTCAGCTAGTTATAAGGTACAGTATATATCTTTTAAAGCAGTGTTTGTGTTATTTTTGGCATTCTCTGTGGTTGCTGTAAGGCTTAAACCAGAAGTGCAGTCGGAAAAGCAGTAATGTTTTGAGTCCCGGGCAGCAGTGTGAGGAAATTCAGTGCTTGCTTACACGCTTCTTACATCCTGCTTCAGTAATAGTTACCCAGTGTGGCTCTCGTGTTTGCCTAATAGAGATTCTTTCAAGCAAAGATCTGATGGTGGCATTGTACTTTACATACATCAATATATGGGGATTTTATAAAATGACTTGGGCTTTTCTTGCAACTGCATTGTAAAAGGTACATCCTGTGGAGCAATGCAATCTGGTACATATGAAAATTGAACCAGAGGGAATATGCTTGCAAAGAGGTCTGTGCACACCAGAGGGCGCTAGGTGAACAGACTCTGATATTGCTGTACATAAGAATGCACTACAAGGCTTCAGATGGATGCCTGCGATATTCTTCAATATTCCCTTAGTAAGTGGAACACATATCATTGCTCTGTGGTGCAGCTTGTAGAAAACAGTTGTCTGAATAGGTCAAATGATTTTATAAGCATCCTGTACATGAAGGATCTGTTGCCCGTTCTTTATGCTCCTTCTAATTGTGTGCCTTCCGAAGCACTGAAGGTGTATTCTCTGTACATTATCCTACAGTACACTGAAGATGCCAGCAGGGAGTTGGAGGAGTGCGAGAAGCTTGAGCAGCTGGGGGCTGTGGACAGCTCTCTCAGGTAAGGCTTTTCAGCCATTTGTACAAACTCCATGGGATGAAGGGTACATTTTTAAGTATTTGAAGTTACAAGTGTGTTGCCCGAGCACCTTGTTTGCGCTGCACGCAGTAGAACTATTCGGCATTAATAAAAATCAATAATAAAGCAGTTGTGAAATGGTTTGAGACTCTTTGGAAGAGCTGTCCGCCTTTTAATTGCCCTGTTGTGCGTCTTCTAGTGAGGAGACCCGTCAGGTTCTTCTGGAGTGGAGCAGACATGATGATGAGGCTGACCGCTTTTGTGAATCTGATGGTAGGACTGTGGAACTGCCCCTTCGTTTTCTGCTTCAGGGAAATTTCACATCTCCCTGCTTGAGTAATTTGTCGACAAATGGAAATGCTTTTGTGGAGAGGTACAGCTGCCTTCAGCCGCACCCCTCAAAAGCACTGGTCTTTGGGGTGGGATCTATGGTCCAATGGGAAGCTCATACTGTACACTATTCAGGCTTTACCCACAAAGTGAACATTTTGCCCTAGGTCTAGCAGTGTGTAAAACAATATCAGCATTAGATGATCTACATGTACAGTTTACTATATTTTGCTATTTAATTTGGGACAACTGTTTTCAGGGGTCCTTCTGACAAATTTAGTTACCTCCAATCCTGAGCAGAAGATTTCTGCAGTGTAAATTTCACCCTCATAAGAAAATATAATGGGGTGTTTTAGAGATAATCATTATTCTAAGCTGTTTGATTCTCTTGTCAAATGGATTGCATAAGTTAGATTGTATCTAGATACATTACAGTAGGAGACTGAGACAAGCTGTTGTATCTAGTTATATTTACATGCCTATGAGACAGGTTTTACTGTTTGTAGTGACTTTAAAAGCTTTGAAAGTGAAATCGATGTATTGAGTCTTGGTTCCTAAAGGCAGAAAAGACAACATTCATTTTTTAATTAATATTAGGAGTGTAATTTTATTGCCACACTCAATTTTATTACATACATATGACCAAAATCATTTATTGACAGTCATGAGTCAGCATTTGCATTGACTAACCTTAGAAGAAGGCGTTTTTTGTCAACACAAGCAACGAGAGAGCTGAAGAAGATGCTTAAGAAAAGACTGTGAAATAAAGAACTAGAATGCCACCATCCCACCCCTCCAAAGTAAAGTGCCATGGTGCTGTCCCAGGTTCCTACCCCCCTCTCCTATCCCCTTTGCCCTTCTTTCCCAGATGAAGAGTCTCCAGACTCCCAATATGTGGACCTGCTGCTTAATCCTGAGCGCTTCACTGGCTACAAAGGGCCCGAGGCCTGGCAGATCTGGAACAGCATCTACGAGGAGAACTGCTTTAAGTAATGTCCTCAGATTGGTTTATGGGTTTTTAGGTTAGAATGTAGCAGCCTTGTAAACAAGTCCTTAAAACATTCTCTTGAGTCATGATGATTTGAGTCCTGAGTTGCCTATTAAATTAAAATCTGTGCCTGCTGGCCATTCTGTGCCAAGAAAGAGGCGTGGCAGATTAATTTGATGCAGTACTGTATGTTAAAGACTATTTCCAGCATTCAGAAATAACTGTGAATGTCTGTTTTCTAATTTAGATAAATAGATGTGATCTGTCTGGTGGTAAGAGCAAACTTCATATAAAGTAAACATCTTCATGTGAACGTTTCAGACCCTGTACTGTGAAGAGACCACTAAATCCTTTGACATCCTATAGAGGTAAGATACTAGTATATATTTTAATTGCAGCAGAATGTGTACACTTTCTCTTTTGTAGAGTATTATATAAGTTTATAGACTAATTTAGAGTAGAACAGAAATCCTTTATTTCCTTTTTATAATGTGTATTTTATGTGCATGTATTGACCTCTGTGCAGTGGCTAATCAAGAACTAAAGTGTTAACTAGCAGGGTTTAATTCCTTTTTACACATTTTTATGAATTCATTTTATCTTTTCCTCTCCTACAGGAGAAGATGAAGGTAAGACATCTCATTTTGTTCATACAGTACTTTGTAATGCTTCTTAATATAGCAACCTTTGGAAGTCTTCTACGAAAGATTAGATGAAGATTAAAAAGGGATTTTCAATGCAGGAGGAAGTAAATTGGGACCTTTTGTAAGCAGATGTAACATTAATGCATGCCTGCAATGTGATAAAATACACAAATTACAGTTTTTAGATTTTTTTTTTCCTCTAACTTCCCAACAACTGCTCTTTTGCAGGAAAAACATTTTACAGATGGCTGGAAGGTAGGAATAAAGAAAAAGTGATACATTTGTCTAAAAATATTAATGTTTGCTTTCTTCCTACAATTGGATAGTCTAAAGTAGAAGTTGCCTCAGATTCAGTTCCTGGAAGGCAGAGTGGTTTTTATTCCCAAATCAGTAGCCAATTAAACAATGAAGTTAATTCTATTCTTAGATATGATTTTTCTTAAGGATTTTAACTTTGATTACTCAAAATAGTCACTAAAAGTACAGTTACTTCTGGAACACCTAAACAACACTTCTATAATTGTGAGATTGGGTGGAAGGAAAAACTAAAGGACAATTTAGTGAATCAGTTTGAGATCTTATCAATCTAATCGTTTACAGTGAAAGTAAATGAATTTACTGTGAAACTAGTTGACAGGCATGCAGGCTTATGCCGCATTTCTCACACCTGGTTCTCAGTACACCTTTCTCTCCCATTTTCTTGTTACAGTTTTACTATTAATCTGAGTCTCATTCGATTGAGTTCCAGAAACACTCTGTAGCAGTTCTGTTATTGCGAAATAAAGCATACAGTTCCATCCATTCACTCTTCGTCTTGCTTAAGCGGAGTCTATATTGCTCTAAACAGTTTTATGTGACCCGATTTAATAATTTATAGACACTATCAAACTCTTCCCCTAAAAAAGTTCTGCAGCAGTCCAGTACCTTGGATTCCAAACAATTGCCCTCATCAAGGTGTGAAACCCAGAAACTATTTCATAGTCGATACTATTTTAATAACCCTTATTCAGGTTGTGATGAGCTGAAAAGTGGTCTTAATTTGCTCCAGAACAATTAGCCTCATTGACCAAGAGCTTGTTTGGAATGAAAACCAGAAGTGATGGGTTCCCTAGGACTAGGGTTAAAAGTCACTGTCGTCACTCACTCAACATACGTATTGTTAGCAAATTGGGAATGGACAAAAAGTTTTCCAAATTACATGCCAATTTTTGAAAAAATTACCAACACATGAATAATTTACATGTATAGTGAACATCACTTTTTCTAATTACCACATATATTAAACAATAGATCTCTTAAGGAAATATTGCACAAAATCCCCCCTAGAATGCCCTTGAAAATTTGGTGTTTTCTTCTAAATTTGCTTTTCAGACTCTGGAACATGATTATATTTAGTTAGTAGAGGCTGAACTCTTCAAATTTGTTTTTACAGGTCTGTGTGTAGAGAAGAGAGCCTTCTTCAGGCTGATATCTGGGCTTCATGCCAGTATCAACATCCACCTCAGTGCTAGGTACCTCCTGGACGGTGAGTAACATGGGAAGTTGATCCTTGTCTTTCTGCAAAGGTAACACTCGAAACCTAAACAAGATCTGACACATTTGGTCTCAATATTCAGTATAGGGATTTGTAACCATACTGGTCAATATCCATATCTTCACCATTAGGGGACTAATGCAAATTTATTAACCTATCAATTGTTTTTTAGAAAGTTTTTATCATTCATTCAAATTTGTATTATTTTTAAAATACAAAATTAATTGTTGTCTGGTTGTTTTAAACACCTCAGAAGTCTGTATTTTCTCCATTGAATGTCACCAAAGCTGTTTCCATAGTGATGAAAAGGACACCATTTGCCAGTTTAGCCACATGGTTTCTGGTAGTGTGTCCTTTTTGGGGTTGCAAAGTTTAAATTAAGATAGTCAGAAACCGTATTATTTAATAATCTGTGTGCGAACCATTCTCTGTCTCTTCTGTTGTGCTCAGATAATTGGTATGACAAGAAATGGGGTCATAACATCACAGAGTTTCAGCAGCGCTTTGACGCAGAGCTGACCAAGAGTGAAGGACCCAAGCGCCTGCGCAACCTCTACTTCCTCTACCTGATCGAGCTGCGGGCGCTCTCCAAGGTCCTGCCGTTTTTCGAGCGCCGCTCCTTCCAGCTGTACACTGGCCAGTCTGCCCAGGACCAGCGCGCCAAGGACCTGCTGTTAGAGCTTCTTCAGCTGGCCGAGTGAGTTCACTGGAAGAACAAGACTCAAATTCATCCCCATGTGCAGACGTGTCAGTTTCCTGAAAAAAACTAAAGCGCTACTGCATACGAAGAGGTTTGAGCATGTGCTGTCTGCGAAGGAATGGGTTAACAGCCCAAACCATTTTTGTTCTACTGTTCAGAATGGAATTGCTCTATGCTGGTTATATTATATACAGTATATAACCCCTGTTTGATCAATGTCTGTTCAGGTCCCAGTTGTTTTCCTGCAGATTGAAGATATTCATGATATTGAAGATTTTCATGGTTGGCTTGCATGTTAAATTGAAGAGCTGCACTTTACATTTTTTACGTGAGGCATACAGTATCTGACCGATTTTCATCTGCTCTGTGCAGTTCTTTTCCTTTGCACTTCGATGAGAACTCGCTGTTTGCTGGAGATAGAGAGGAAGCCACAAAGCTGAAGGTAAGAATGCAATACAAGAACCGGTGTGTAGTCTGTTCCCACATTCCACTGATGTTCAGGAGTGACTGTAGCCTTAGTTTTTCCTAAAACTCTCGCCTCACTGTTGGCAGGAGGATTTCAAACTGCATTTTCGCAACATTTCCCGAATCATGGACTGTGTTGGCTGCTTCAAGTGCAGGCTTTGGGGGAAACTACAGGTACTGTACGTATTGAGTGAGATCTAACTTTGCTCTTTTGCCTAAGCCTCTCTGTCATAAATGAATGTGCTTAATTACCTCTTCTGAAACCCACTGTTCAGGTGTACAGTACCAACCATTTTGCTTAGATAATGAACAGAAAGTGGGTGATGATGAGGAGAGAGAGAACTGTAATCCATGAGTTTTATCATCTCACTTTGAATGTATTCAGTTTCCCTAGAAAGGCTAGGTTATCTTGTAGAACCTGTTGCTAAAGCAAATATTTAGTCTTGCTTAGTCTGAATATTGTTCTTCTAATCCAGTCTTTTTGTAAATTATCACGCGCAGTATGTTCAACAGCATGAGCAATCATGTTAACTTTTCAACGCCTCTATCAGTTAGAACTCATTTAAAGGTTTGCTAGCTTCTGTTCCCAAAATACTTTATTAGAATGACATATGTCTGTAGTGCTGCATTTTTGTAGTTTGTCATATGTGGTGCTTTACAATTTTAATGTGTTTTTGTGCAATGCATGCTGTCATGGTGGTGCAGTAGTGCTATTCAGGGTGTTGTCTTGTTGTAGACCCAGGGCTTGGGCACAGCATTGAAGATCCTTTTCTCTGAGAAGCAAATTCAGGCTCTGCCTGAGTCTGGTCACTTAAGACTTGGCTTCCAGCTGACACGTCAGGAGATTGTTGCTCTGTTTAATGCCTTTGGCAGGTACTGTATGACTGTCCATTTACCTGGCTACTATGATTAATGAAGCTATAGTATAGTAGAGCATGAAAACAAGGAATTTCTAAATATTAAATTTAAATGAAGTAGAGTGAATGCACTCTAAAGGATTTTAACAGCATAAACTACATTGATACCAAAAGCTGAAGATAAATTAAACGTCTGAACTCACCCTTGGAACATCTCTCAGAGCGATTATAAATGTGCAATTTTATGGCAGCCATTTTTTAGGGGTTATGTAATACAGTATACATCACTTATACATTTTATTTGCCATTTAAATATCCATTATTTTCTAGCACATCACATCTGTCTTTTATTGGATTCTGTGAACCAGGAGGTGGCAGTCTCACTGTTTTAAAAACAACGTGGTGATTTTTAATGTTTACAATTTTTTCATTGGTTCAATTTTTCTTCTCTAGAATTTCCACAAGCATCAAGGAACTAGAGACCTTCCGAAAGCTATTGTCGAAGATCAAGTAAAAACAGAATAATTGGTACATCTGTGATGAGACACTCCTAGAAATGAAACCTGTCCAAGTGCAACTAAATTTTGGGAGCGATTTAAGAGAATCTCAGCACTTCACTTATTGAAGCCTTCTGTGCGACTGAAGAGACTTAATTCCCACGAGTAAGGAGCATGAGCTGCATGTTGTAATTTTTATTTCCTCTGATGTCTTTTTTTTTTTGCGAAGGGAAACCCTGAGTTTATTTTGGTATTTGTTTTCCCACTGTGGGAAAAGATTTTTCCCTGCTCTGTGTGCTCTGCCCTTGGTTGTTAGTGACAGGTATGGATTTAAAAAAAAAAACCAATTCAACACAAAAAATTAAGTGGGGCAATGAGATGTATTTGTAAATGGATGAGTTGTGGATTTCGTTTGCACTAATTTTATTCAGGGAAGATGTAAAGAGGGCACCGTGACTTGTATCTTAACATGCTAGGCTTTATATTTGTATTGTGAAATAGCCTATTTCCCCTTTCAAATAGGAGTAGGGGTACAGTTAAGTGATCTACTGAATGCAGAACTATCTCTGTAAATGTGATTCATGCTATTTGGTCATTAAGCCTGTCAGATGATTTACGGATTTTGGAATGCTGTATTTTCTTCATGCTTGCATGTATTGACTGTATTTCACACTGGAAACTATGAGCCTATAGATATTGTGACCATTATGCTGATTTATATTATGCAAGTTGCCAATTGTCCTGTACAAAGAAGAGAGAAATTACTGCATTCTATAATTGTTTTATTTATTGGAGATTCTCAGAAAAGGGCCAAGGATGCCCATATATGATCAGTTTTAAGTTTTGTATCAAGAAATAAACTAAAGTTTGAAATCTATGCATTCTGTTTCTTTGAGGGGCGAAAATAGTTGTGGCCAAAGATGTTTGCTTTTTATATTTATATTGGATAGTTTCTTTACAATGGTTTATATATTTTCTTAAGCAGATTAACAGTTGTGATAGTTTAGTATTTTACCATCTTCAGTTCAGTGAAATATAAAAATGCAGTAATAGAACATTGACCTAGAATGTAAATCTATAAATTTAAATCAAACTGTTTTATGTTGAAGCTGCACCATGGCAGCTGCCTAAGGCTAGGGTATTTCTAGATCTGTAATTGTAGATGTACTTGGAGGAAAATACAGAGACTATTTTGACATCTGCTTTATCCTCCTTTCTTTTGTAGATGCCCTTTCATGTTTTTCTACCATGAAATTTTATTTGGCTAATTTTGAGTAGAAATCCATATCAAATCTGAAGCAGGAATTTCTATTTCAAAGAGTAAGATGTTCATTCTGTAAATTCACAGTGTGCCTCAATTTAAGGAGCAGCTTCACATTTTCATAAACTACAGTTGCTATGCTGATCTGAAATAGGTCTTAGTGATTGTTATAAAGAGTCCTCAATGCTCACTGTGAACTGTTGGGGGGCGGGGGGGGTCTAAATTCAATACGATTCAAGTTCTAGAAGCTCAATTGGAGCTAAAGGTCAGCCAAGAAACAGAATTGCAATTTAATCTGACAAACAAGACTTTTTTTGTAGTGAAGGAGATTTGGTATTTGAGAGTTTTAACTCAAACAGTGCTGATAAAAAACAGACATGGCTTCTGCTTTCAGTATTTTAAGTCAGAAAGGCTACATTGCACTCCCCCTGGGGAACAGCCAATTCGTCTTGCAATTGATCTGGTCTTGCAGCTATAAACCCTATGAGGTGAAGGGTAGACCCATGAGTGACTGAGTGGAGGAGAGGTGCATCCCTCAAAGACAGCACTTCACGCTGGCAAGGTTTTAGCAGGCCACAGAGGGCAGACAGCCCTGGCTGCCTAATTCAACCTGATGCCAGGCAGTGCTCAGTCAATTTACTATCCCTTGGAGAATTGCAGTCAGTCTACAACTGACAGGAATCCACCTTCAACAGTATGAACTACTGTCAGTCTTTAAGTGTTCAGTCACTTGGCAGGCCTCTCCATCACAGTCCTAATATAGCCAAGAGCTTGCTGAACCTTTGGGATACCAAATCAGTTTCAAAAGTCGGTGCTTGCTTTTTGACTTGAAATTGAAAGGACACATTATGCCCCATTGTATCTCCATAGTTGTTTAGGTAATGAAACAGCAAGTACTCCTTTTACTACCTGATTTACATATTAAGCATGTCTGATCCACTGAAGGAAAGCAGCAGCTCATTTTATCTATAACTCCCAGTCCCTTGAAGCAATTTCCTAAACTCATCATGTATTGTCCAAAGAGACACACACCCTTTTAAAACAGTGCAATAAAACTTTATTTAAACATGGTAGTGCTTTGCGGACAGCTTTAGTGAACTAAGAAATATGGATAAACCCTGTTACATTCATTGGCCACAAATAGTAAAAAAAAAAACCCCAAAAAAGGCTAATAACTAGCTATCAGAAGAAAAAGCTGAAACACAACACCTTCACAGAAACAAATTAACAGCAAAAATACAATACTTGTAACTTTCACATCTTTTGAAATAGATATTTTCAGTTTTAACTGTACATGTTTGGAAATGTACTTGTACTGACAGCAATGCTTGTATGTTTTCAGATATGCATGCGAGGAAATCAAGGAATGGTGCTCAAACTAAGCATCAGAAATCAGTTATTCCTGTGTAGTGTTAGCTGCCACTTAACTAATGCTTCTAAGCAGAACTTGCCCCAGCACTGATGCCACCTAAGAGAATCCAGGAGGGAAATACCTATCCAAGACCAACCTGCTAAGCACACCATGTCATTCTTCTCAGCCTTGATAAACTTTAATTATGCCAATTAAATTGGAGCTTGTTCAGGGCATTTCAGTCAAGATTGTACATGTAGAAGGTGAATGCTTCAATAATTGTGCAATTCCCAGAATACCTACAGCTGAGTAACCTCCTTCAGGTTCCTACAATGTTCTCTTACATCAACACCTGGAGAAAGTGGAGCAGGGAGCAGGGTTTGTGCAGTCCAGTCAATACAAATGGGATATGATCCCTCATCATCTACATCTAGAATAATGGAAATCAGGAAGTGTTTAAATATGAACAAGCCTATTCCAATTAATCTCCAATAGAGATAAATTATATGGAAAAAAATTCTAAATGAAATGCTCTCACCTAACAACTGTCAGGCCACTGTAGCTACTGTACAACCAGTCTGGATGATTAAGATAAAGGCAACCTAGCTCAGCCAGGCCTGAAGATGTTTCTGTCACTTAGTAAAAAAAAGATTGTTTAATCCAGCATGGTGTAACAGAATGATTAGAGTACGCCCTTAAGCTTGATTCTTTTTTTCCCCATTCAGAAAACCTGAATCTATAACATGTAACCCTGATTTTGCCTTTACGGTTACTGGATATTGTGATTGGAAGCATGCCCTTGAAATCAGTTTAAAGGCTTAAATGTGCATTAAGGAATGGACACACACACTGCATGGCTGTTCGGAATGAAAGAAAAGTACGAAGGGCTGAATGTGAACTTGAGAACGTACTGTGGTGATCACAATGCTGTCTTTAAACTCTGAGCTTGTTTTAATAAAAACTGTATTGCTGCACTACAGGCTGCTGAGCCCAGTAGCCCAAATTTACTCAATTTTGCCCAACATCAGCCTTTAAATTAACAAGGAGGTATACAAATCAGAAAATTGAGCTGAGCATTTGTGTCTTCAGAAGCAGATGAAATGACACGAAGATTAGATGCAGACTACCCAGTTTGTCCTGAAAATGAAGACAGTTCTGTGATCAGCTTTAACTTTTGGGCCATGTATGAAAAAACAGAGAATGACAATGCTCCACAACCACAATGTGCGCCTCACACAGCTGGCCTCCGAGATGCATTTGACTAGGACATTCTGTGGCAAGTGGAAAAACAATAGTAATAAAACATGTAAATCAAAAGCAAAGACTGACTCTTTACTGAGGACATTGTCTTCATGGAATGCTTATTAATTGAATATATTTTCCATTAAAGTCTTGCCATCAATGTGTTATTTATCCAGTACTGAAATTTCTTGGATACTATTGGATGTTGAACTAATGATGTAAATTTCCCATTATATTAGTATATATGGGCATTCAATAGGCATGCATTTATCTGATATGTGGAATGTAGACAAGCCCCCTCACATACCACAAAGTGCTCCCCACCTCTGTGAAATTCTTGGTGCCAGGCCCAATTAGTCCAGACTTAAAGGCAATCTGACTAGTTTCCATTGCTGACTATAAACAAGCTGCCTTTAATGATAATGGATGCTTTGTCCATACAAATACAGGGGAAAAAAAAGTGCTCGATGGTTGAGCTGTCTTTTTTTTCTTATTTGGCCTTCTGAACTTTCCTTAGTTGGCTACAAAACTTAAATGTTCTAAGTAAAATGAAAAATGTAAACATTGCAATGTTAGAAGAAACCTTGGTGAATGTAATTCTACTGAGATCACAAGAGCATGTCAGGATGTATAGGAATAAGAACAAATTTAAATTTGAACCGAATGCAAAGTGTCCTGATCTTACTTTTCTACCCACCTACTGTTGACCTATCCCCTTCATTCACAAACATCACAGTACAAGTGCTCCAAATGTGGGTTAGTGGGTGCAGTTAAAGTGAACAATCTGCAAAGGGGAATAAAAGCAGAGGGGAAAGTAAGCTTTCCTTTGGAAAAAAAAAAACTAGCTTCCCAAAAGTAAAACTTACTGTCTCTCCTTGTGCAGCACAGCTGTGAACAAAGCCAGCAAATGAACTCCAGTTGTAATCTACCATGTTTGCATTCAGCAACAGAGATACAAGAACATAAACGGAGTGCAAATAATAAAATTATAGACCAGTCATAACTGACATTGGATTGTAAGGCAAAGAAGGCATGTAGCTATTTACTGAAGTTGGAGAAGGTTTCATACTGCCCACTCTGACATTCACACAACTCTTTTTTTTAAACTCGCCAAGTATTTGTGTTATGCCAACCCCGTTTAGAACAACCAAAGTATGTTTTTCATCTTAGCTATGAGGTATGATATCCATGGTCTCGCACAGGGCTGAATTAGAAAATGCAGGCCAACTCCTCCGACCAGCCAGCTTTGAGACACTCCTCTTTGAATAGGCCACAGGCAACATGGTCCCATGCCTGAGGTTCAGAGCCCACTGTCTTTCACCGACAGCATGGCATGCCCATAAGGGACTGGGAGGGCACAGGCGTTACAGAGAGCTGAGACAATCCTGGGCTCAACTGTGTGCCTCTGTTTGACAGCCAGGTCACAGCGAAGTCATGGTCAGCTAGAGACACGACCCAGGCTCAAAGCCCTGATCACACGAGTTAACCTGTGCCTGGCAAGCGCCTTAACCAGTTGAGGCACTCAGGAGCACCCCTACGTTCTGAAATGTAACAGTGACAGGAAAACGAAACCAACAGAACAGGAGCGAAGAGTAAAATGCACACTAACAATTTAATGATTACAAAGCCACCCTCACTGTAGAACCTACCAATTTTAAATTGGCTTTAGACTAAATGGTAAATGCAAAGGTAGTGACAGTTTTAAAGCAAGGGTAAAACGCACAAGTTTAGTCTTACATTTTAATAAAATATTTTCTTTTGAGTGGGCTCAGTTTGTTGTTCACTACTGAGCTATGCAAATAGTATCTAATGCCAAAAACCTTACACTGGATACTGTAGAAAGACGATATCCAGGTTGTATAACTCAAGAATGTAATAATGTGGGTTCTCATTACAACTAGAGCACAATTACATGGCAACATGTCACAGCTGCACAACATAACTCTTACTTCCATTCATGTCAACAGATGTGGTTCATTACACTTCAAGCAATAATGGAATCCAGCCGATATCGAAGTCCCTTTAAAAAGAAAGAGAAAAGCTCTTTGTCTGCTTCCTCTCAGCAGAAATCAAGCTATGGAGTTTTGCTTTCCAGCAAGCATGTAAAGATCCTGTTACATTTCAAATCCTAATGTCTAATTTAGAAAGAGTGAAAACATGCTTGTGATTCCCACTGACTAGCCAGAGACAAAGCTGTAAGTTTGCTTGAAGATACCAGCCCTCAAATCCAAAGATTTCAACCAAGGCTGAAATGCAATCTTTCAAGAAATGTCTCAATGGTATGGTCTACATGAAGAAGAGAGTTAAACCGATCCAGTATTGTTAACAAAACGCTTCACAAAAAGTCATCACAAGGGCACATCTGTTCATGAGTGGGGGCAGCAGCATAACTGCAGGAAAAAGAAAGCATCAAACACGAAAGAAACTGCATGGAATAACAGGGTGCTCTCACTCTTCGAACTAAAAGCCTTCTGAAAGTGTTCACACAAATGCAGGTATCACATACAGGGTGCAAATAACTAATGCCTCCATTCTGAAGGCAGAAAGCTGCTATGACAGTCGAGAAAATGCCAATGTCCCATTCTGCACAGCAAAGTGGATCATTATCTCAAACGTTTCGATTTAAAGTTCATATTAAGTGCATCACACAGTGAGATGCACCCATCTGATCAACAGAGGAAACATCCGCTGAAAAAAGTTTTATTTAAATAATGAACAGGGTTTCAATTAAAACAAGGATATTCCAGAGTGAAAGAGTTACTTCATCTAATGTGATTTGCCCAGGATGTAACAAAGAATGAAATTTGAAAAGAAAATTTAAACTAAATTTCCTAGATCTGTTTTGATTAATTTGACCTTGTCCACACAGATGGATAGTGTGCTTTTAGCAGACGTTAAATCAGGGACATCAGTCATTCATACAGATCTAGACAAAACTCACTAGAGCTTTCTCTGGGAAAATGCATATTCAGATTTGACAAGAAGAGCACCTCTCCCTGCCAGTGAAACAAAAAAATGAAAAAAGAGCAAGCTGCCCCTATACCTTTTCTTGCCATCCTTGAGAAACATGACTATGAGGTCTGCTGCTTTTAATGAGCTAACCTTGCCTAGCCACAATTTGACAGCAAATAATTTTCCATACCTTGCACACAGTGAAGCTGAAACAGCTTTAAAAATATTCTTCCTATATAGGGAATGTACAGTATTATTGCTCAAGAAGAGTACTGATTGTATGCCCCTGGATATGGAAATGAGCACGTGGTCAGGGAGCAGGTTACAGAATAGCTGATGTGTCTCCGCACTGCCCTGAGAGAGAGAGGTGATGGCAAAGTAGCCCCTATGCCCTTCACTCACTGGCTTCTCATGTGAAGTCCACTTACACAACTGTCCACTCGTGATTAAGTATGTCGCTACTCCAAATGCTAGATTACTTTGGTTTCCACAGTGGAGCTGTGCCAACTTCAACTTTAGCTAACCCCAAACTTCCAACATTCTTCAAAAAGGCAATACCATCTTCTACTTGTACTTATAGGTCCTTAGTTTGAGGGGAAAAAAAGGTTTTTCACAAAAAAACAAGTAGAAACAGGTCTAGTTTTCATAATCACAGAAGATCAAACAGATACATTTTAGTTTCTGAACACAAGAAACAGGTGACTAGCCCACTTAATAATACTGCATGCAAGGTTTTAATCATCCTATTTGACCATTTCACTTCAAAGGGCTTGTGAAAGGTTCTAGGAATTTTAGGTCTGTGGCCTCACATTACAACTCAGTTATTTAAAAGAATGGCAAAAGAAAGGTACCTCAGAACAATTGTTAGAAGTCTGCAACAGCCAATAAGTCAGTAAGTTGAATTAACAGCGATATATGAATGACAATGCACAAAATGGCAAGAAAATAAAAAAGATAAAATACTAAGGATTGCATTTGACCAGCGAAAGCATTTATCTTTTCCCTACAAGAATTTATGTATTGTGCCTCAGCCGTCCTCCATGAGATAGAAAAACCTATGCAGTGTCAGTACAACATTTTACAAAAATACAAAACCTTTTGCCTATATCACAATTCTTGTATATCACTGCATGTTGTAAACACTGTCCAGTAGCATGCAGCTGAAATCAACGATCAACATGAAACATACAATTCCTAAACCCTGACAAAAAACACTTCCCACAGCCCCTTGCTTCCAATTGAGTAAAAAAAATGCCCCACTCCATGGTGGGCCTGCTTCATTAAGCTATTGTACCGTTTTGCTCATTCTGAACTATTGCAGTGCAAATCCGTACCTAGCAGTGTGAATTAGTTGTAATGAACAAAAGGAAGAAAGTCATACAGAACCAAGGATACAATACAGCTTACTATGGTTTGCAATATATACATAATTTAGTGCATCGGTTTATAAAGACATGTATGTGAAGCAATGGCACAATTTCAGGTGTTGAGATTGTGATGAGCTCAATGCTGTAAACTACTGTATAAACAGGCTAGATATTTTTGACACATACAAGAGATATATACTAGAAGATGGTGTCCAATAGTCACTGTATTAATTGAAAGTCCTTTATATTAAAGTACATCTAAGTTGAGATAAACCCAAAGGAGTGGGGGTCTTTTAGAAATGATAACATTTAATTGCTAGAAAGGATTGTTATGTCTCACAGTACCAAAGGTGTAACAGAGCACCCTCTACTACGCATCAGATCACTTGTTTAAAGGCGATCTGTTAGGATACATTCATTCAGTTGAAATACTCTCCTCAAACTGCCAGTACACTTTCTCATGAGTGAAAATTCTCCAAACTGAATAGGGAAATGCCCAATACACCTTATGGTCAGTGTAAATTGGGCTCTCAAGAGAACACTATGACCAGATTCTGTGCAGTTTCTTCTGTGAGGGAGCTTATTGAGATGACCTCCAAGCTTCAGCCCATTTCCAGTTGCAACCTTGGGCTCTTTGGCAGAAGTGGCTTTCCTCTTTTTTTTCTTTGCGCTCACCAGTCCCAGTAAAACAGGAAGCTCAGGCTGCTTTGCCAGTCCATCTGCTGTCAGCACTGTGGCATTCCTTGATCTTGCCATCACTAGCCCAGAAACCCCCTCACCAGAGCTCTGCTATTCATAATCAGCAGAAAAGGTGCCTTACATTCAGGAAGGAAGCTGTTTGATCAGAATGGTAATGTGCAGGATTGAAGTGCAAAAATCGCATCCCAGCTTATAAAAGTGTGTCTATGTGTCTGTATGCATAGGAAGCTCTGGGGCCAGATGCTGCCTATGCAACTCCAAAAGTACCAAAATATTAAACCACAAAGACAGACCCATGGACAAAATGTTTGTGGGGAAAGAAGGATAAGAAACAGCAAGACCTCCATCCCTCAGTTCATTATCCAGTAAAGTCCCTGACAGGGGAAAACAAGGTGCTGTTTTCAAATACTTGCTTTTTGTACGAAACCCGTCACCTGCAGAGTTAACATTTTCATACGCTTGAGCAAACAAGAAATTATTCTATTCCCTCCACACCCCCGTAACCACTCTGGACTATAATAAATTACTAGATCGTAAGGAAAGCAAAAGAAATAACCCAGTTAAGCCCTCAAGGAGCCAAGCCATCTGCGGTCGATCCTGACGGCCTCACTTGGCTAAGCCCCCAGAGCTTCAAGACGCTTTCGAGAGCTGCCAGGTCAGACGAAAGGTGTCAGAAATCTGCAGAGTGGGGAGTTACCTTCGCTGGGCATGTGCTGGTGGGAAATATAGAGTGCAGCGGCGATCCAGCAGGGCGGCGGGTTCTTCCCAGGCAGAAAGCTAGTTCTGTGGGGTGGAGTAGTAGTTGTGGTGCTGGCTGGTCTGGATATTGCCATAAACCAAGAGCAAGGGTGCGGTGGCGGCGGGGGGCCCGTTGAGCAGGTGCGGCACCACGGTCAAGCTGCCGTTCCTCCGGATCGTCCCGTACCAGCTGGGTCCGGCCTGCGGCGTGGAGGACAGGATGCTGCGGCAAAGCGAAGAAACCAGCAGGGGGTGAGCACAGGCCCGAAACAGCGCGGTCACCACAGCACGGCACGGGTCAAGCTACTACAGGTGAACGGCAGGTGGACTTGCAAAAGGATCATAAAAAAAAAAAATTGCACCTCCAATTTCTTCAGATGCGTAGTGTGTACAGCTCCAAAATAACACTTTCAATAAATTTGGCCTTTGAATTGAAGAACAGCTCTTGCTAAAGAGGTTGATTTACGGTTTGTCGCATAATCTCCCTGCCACTCGCAGCTGGCAACTCACTGAAGCTCAGCAGGTGTGAGCCTGGCCAGTACCTGGATGGGAAACCTCCTGGGTAAAACTAAGGTTGCTGCTGGAAGAGATGTTAGTGGGGCCAGTAGGGGTTGCTCACCTTGGAGTCTGCGGCCTATACTGGGGTTCAAATGCCCCAGCACAGTGACGGGGACACTATACTGTAAAAAGGCACCGTCCTTCAGATGAGAGGTAAAACAGAGATCCCGACTCTCTGTGGTCATTAAAAATCTCAGGGGTGTTTCTCGAAAAGAGTAGGGGCATTACCCCGGTGTCAAATCCCCCCTGTCCCTTAGCAATCATGGCCTCCTAATAATCTCCATCTCTGAACTGGCTCCATGACTCTGCCTACCTCCCCACTGATAGCTGGTGTGTGGTGAGTGTACTGGCACACTATGGCTGCTATCGCATAATCCAGGTGGGGCTGCACACTGGTGGTGGTGGTGGAGGGAGTCCCCATTACCTGTAAAGCGCTTTGAGTGAAGTGTCCAGAAAAGAGCTATATAAGTGTAAGAAATTATTATTATGATTGTAATTAACATGCTTGTTCACTTGTACCTTTGGATACCTACAGAAAGCATCGCTTCGGCTTTGAAGGAGCTGTATCCATGTAAAAGAAGAGTGATACTTCCTGCCTACCTGCTCCTCTCCCCTCGAGAGCCCAGGCTGCGGGATAGATCATCATCACTGTCGTAGCGCCGGGGGTTATCAAAGAAATAGGCCCTGGAGCTGAAGCTGTGGCTGTTTATCATGCCCCCTGGAGCCTGACAAACACATATTCAGAACAACAAAACAGGAAATGCACAGTAGCAGGTAAGTAGTAGGTCAATCAGGGTTATCACGTTTCAACAGCAAAACAACCTTCGCACTCGTATTCTATTTTTCCCAGGACTGCAGTTTTTGAAATCTTAATTCAGATATATCTGTATTCCCAACTGACTGCATACGTTTCGATTTTTTAAACTAATGAACAAAAATCAGCTTTGGTATTTTTACATTCCCAACCCTTAAATGAATATATGAACTGGAACTGTTGAGCATTAGGAAAGGCTGAGCCTCAAATCCTGAAATGGCTGGGATTGCCTGCTGAGGCCCTGAAGCAGTCTGGATGAAGATTTGTTCCCGAGCCCCTTCTTCAATTGTCAGATATGAAGAAAGCAATCTTTCCTTTTACAGACAAGATGGGCGTCCATGAGACTGATGAAACCCATCTATTTCAATGGTATGGGCTATCAAACACAGCTATAAACTGTGGTGCCGGCAAGGAGGTTAAAGGAGGGCAAGCCTCTCTCTTACCAGGTTCTGGTTGGGCCGCTGTACTCTGAAGAACACCACCACCAGACTGGTGGGCAGGAGCTCCCAGAAGAACAGGATAATCCCAAACACTATGTAGGCCTCCCCGTTGATCTTCTCCACGTCAGCCTGGAAATTCAAGCACAGAGCCGGCTCAGTGGCACATGTGAGCTCAGGGAAGCCCCCGCTCCTGGCTGCTACACTCAGAGGCCAAACCCAATCTAGGTCAGAGCGACTACAGCCTACAGCGCTGTTACAAAGGAGGCACTGTTTATAGAAACAGACTTTTTTTTTTTTACTTCCAGAGATTTAGAGTATGGAAAATATCCTAAGCATCACAGTGGCACAGCTACCAGTGTATTAGATTGAATTTTAGGATGTCATCGATTTGTTGGTGAAGTACATGGGGGTGAAAACAAAGAAACGTAAAGATCCTGATACATTTAAAATTTACTTTAATGAAAATGGATTTTCTTTATGGTTTAATTGGAAAGACTTCTAAAGAAATGATTAAGACACTGATGCTTCCATATATTGCTCAAGTATGTTGCTCTAAGGGACTTTATGCTCTCAATGTAGACATTTTTGACAAATACCCAGCATAACTGCAATCCAATAAGGAACTGAGCTTGTAAAGCTTTGCATAACATCCCTCTACACCCAGTGCTGAGAAAACTTAAATCAGACTCTCAAGATCACTACAGAAGATAGAGGGATCACTGCTGTTTGCGCTGTGATTTTAAATGCACATAGGATGTGTGATCACAAACGCCATATAAAAGGTCCATTATTAATTAATGAAGAAAGATTCCCTTAATACGTCACCGACACACAAACTGATTTAGTTATTTATCTAGGGCACCATGGTATATTAATGGTTTTATGTCATTATGGAACTTTCATTAGAACTTACATGGATACGATCCCTAATAGTAATGTTAGCACAATAGGCGTGTTGTCATCTGTGCTTAACTCCACAGCTGTTAACCTGGCCAGGAACAATTATCATTAAGTAATCAGCACCTATAAAATAGACTAGTGAAACCGTGTCCTTTTCTGTCCATTTTTCAATAAGTATTACATTTTTTCACATTTATAATCTGCTGCAGACTTTGAAAGGCTATCCGGTTCTGAGTGAGAAAACTATCAGACTGGGGTGAGAAAGTCATATTATTGACATCATTTATGTGGTCTTTATCTGCCCCATATCTCCAAAATATAACATCTTTTATACGACTTTACTCTGCAAATACTTGTTTTTCTGTACTATCTCATACTCGGACAAACGTTTTCAGGTCTTACTGCAGCTTATATCCAGTAGTAGGACTAGTCACCATTTAAACTTTTGTGAAGACCCATTTCCACATTCTTTGGCCAAAAAGGCATGTGGCTCTGAGACTGATAAGAATCAACAAAAAATCAAGACTTAAGGCTGTAGCTCAGCCTGATGAACTGTCTGCTCTATGGGTCTAGCTGTACATGTATCACATCACACACGAGGCTTACAGGTTTTTTCCCCATCACTTGTCTTATTCCCTTATAATGAGATTTTTCATGATCTGGTATCCGCTATATTTCTGGTAAGTTTACTCAAGGGCCACGATCCTTTGCACACATCACAGAATAGTGGCTCTAAAACATCTGCCACCCTCATTGAATGAATGTCAGCACCAGTGCCAACACCAGCCCATTCCTCACCTGATCGGACACATTGTACCAGCCATAATTGAAAGAGCTTGGTCGGTCCTCTGGGGAAAGGGCCACCACCACCAGGTTGTAACAGGCCCTGGAGGTGTACAGCAAAATCACTACAGCCCCAATAGCAGTCGCCTGGCATACAGACGTGCCCTGCAGAGTGAGAAAAATGCCCATGATTAACAGTGCAGTAAACATTGTACTGTCTTCAGACTCGAAATAACTACTAGCTACGACCATATCCGGTTTCTTTCAAAGAATTCCCATTGAATAAGACATTATTTGTAAGAGGTTTAGAGGATAGATTCCACTTCTGCAAACCACTTAGAACCACAACCATATGTTTATATCCACTGAGCATTTATTGTTGATCAAAGCATTTACAGTTCTCTAACTTTCAGAATTTTGTCATTTTTACACAAGGAGGCAAATAACTTGCTTATTTATCAATAACTTACTTAAGATGTATCACTGGGAACAAGTAGGGTCAGTAAGGCATGTCAGTAAGACGTACTGGATCTGGGTTCTCATGGACCAGAGCTGGAGACCTCACTTAGATTAAACTTAGAACACTTACCACACTAAAATGGCAACTATATGCAACGATATTTGTAACCTCTGACCCTTTTTTTGCATTTTAGTTGCAACTGTAAAAACAGAGCAATGTAATTAAGTATCCTACTACTGCTTACTTACCTTGGACTCGAGGTAGACGTTGGCAGAGGACATCTTGGCAATTCTGAAGATGCAGACAGCCAGCGAGATAGCACAGAGCACAAAGAGGCTGTCATTGATGAGCACCCGCACCAGCACGGTGTGTTTCAGCTGACCCTCCGATACACTGCCCTGTACCAGCATAGCACAAGTCACGTTCACCACCAGGAAGAACAGGCTGACAAACAGGAAGGCCAGCCGCAGTGGCACCCTGGGAGAGTCACATGAGTCACAGGTCAGCACTGTCACAGAAGAGATTCTCACAGGTCACGAAAAATCAAATCATTTCGCTTTTTATAACTGCCATATCAATGGCCAGACCACAAGTACAATGAATTATTTTAAATGAAATTCTTCTACACAAAACAGGTTAAACATTTACAGAATATGATGCAGTCTACGATGAGGTTAAGGTTGAAAAGTAAAAAGAAAAAATATTTGGGCTGTTGAGACTTTTTCAGATGTGAGGGAGGGAGAGGAAGGTAGCACCGACAGAGTAAACCACAGGAGAACAGAGGTCAGAGCAGGTGAGAATGGCATGATGGGAAGTTGAAAAAGAGAAATAAGAAAGACAGGGTGCTGGCACAGCTCCCCACTCAAACCTCTTCTGTAGTCTTTTAATGTTTGAAGGGGACAATGACTAAATGTGCAATGTGGCGCCACTAAGGAATGAAATGGATTTTAAACAGATTCATAAGAATGCCAGAGAACAATTCTACATACAAAATAGATTTAATATGATCAGGATGGACTGTGTAAAATAACCACTAAGATACAGTAACTAAGGTCAATGAAGGGAAAGAGGGAGTTCCATGTGGTGTCATTATGAAGAAGCCCCTGAAGAGCCTTGAGTTCATTAGACAGCAGAGACTTTGCAAATCACTGAGTCGACAATGGTAAGAAAAACAACATAGTAAAGTGCTTACTTGTATTTGTTGAGTTCTGGGGAATACTTAGCTTTGGCTTTAAACATTACCTGAGGATGAAAGAGGTGAAAAAAAGAACAATTAGCAATGCTATTACTGTTGACTGGCTGAGAACAGGATTGTACAAAGACTTTTCTTAGATTATTCCTGTAATAAATCCCAAACTGAACAGGGTATCCATGTGGGATTCTGAACAGCATGTTGTAGGAATGATCACTTTCTTCCACCAGGAGGAGCCTTAACTTACTCCGCATAGACCCCAAGGTCCACCTCTCTACTGTCACTGCTGTGTTGGCACTCTACCATGGACAGCATTACACACTGCAAAAATCAGTGCAATCAGTGAACACCTACGAGCAATCTACCCTGAAAGGGAACACTCTCAGCTAAATCTTTGAACTTGGAGATGGGCCAGCAAAAACCTTTTCTTTTTCTATCGAAATATTTTTACAGAACTTTCACTCAATTTGTGCAGTTCCCTCTGAAGGGTCAGAGATGCCAGGGAGTTGGAGTGATGCTCCTCAGGAAGTAAAAAGAAAAGGTCTCGAGGGAAAAAAAAGAAACATCAGGTTTTAAATCTGTTCTCCTTCATCTTTCAAAACAGAAAATTACAAACTCCCAAATGCTAAAACTAATTGACTGGAGAGTTTACATTCTTATACTGTATTGACAACAGTAATGATATTCTAGGATGTACCTCAAATCCTTTTGCTTCACCAGGGCTTATAATAAGCTACAAAAGGCTATGGAAATGTGGGGGCTCAGTAACAGAATAAAGCAACCTGAAAATAGCACCTCCACTCATTCATGTCAAAGGCCAGCAGCAGTCTTTTCCTCTATGGCAATGTCACATCAAAAATTACCTTTAGGCTAAAGCAAAGTGAAACCCAGCTTTATTAAGGGAGATTTCCAAATCCCTTCTGTGGAAGTTTAAATGTTTTTTCTATTCAAATCAGCCACTGCACTGATCCTTTGTAGGCTTTGCTTACCCTTATTCACCTCTTGATTTCCTTACCACCTTGGTAACAAGTTTTGCACAATACACGCTCAAAAGTGGAGGCAACCGATTTTCTTCACAGGTTGGCTGTTAATGATCTGCTATAGCAGCAAAGTGAGCTGAGTGTTGGCCAGTGGACTACACTGTCACATGAACTCCTACATTAATGTGCCTAATATGAGCTTTCAGAATATTCCCTCAAAGTGGGGTGTAATTAAAACAATCTTTATGAAAACAATCACAGAGGAAGCAGCAGTTTATGGGGGAACTTTCTCTGCTGGTTGTGGAGAGGATACTGTACATTTCTTCTCAAAAGCAAGAAAGCAGAATTGCACAATATTTAATAGCATTTATAAATAAAAAATAAAAAAAGCAGTATAGTGAACATGACGCACGATAACATTCTTCTAGATGTTTCATGAAAATCCCAATGCAGGCAGACATTACAAGACAGTTTCATTTCACATTTAGGAAAAACGTGAATATGCCAGTCTTGTGGACATCATATTCAGCTCAAGTGTGCCTTATGATTCATGATTGCATCAACAGCATATCACAACTTTTTGCACTTAACATCACGACCAGTAGGAGGCCATGCTACTGCTTCAGTACACAGATAGGCTATTACAACCCAGTACGTGAATGTACTGTATCATGACTGCATGCAGAAACTAAGACTGTGATCCTGGTCTTGACTTCTGAATTGCTGTAGCCACTTCCAGCAGTACTGGCAGACCATGAAGAGATGGAAATACTGCAGGTTACAAATTCTGCCTTGTGTGCTTTCGAACTGCTAAACCCAGTAGTTTTATCAGAGCCAGCAGCCAGGTTTCAGGGGGCTAGTCTACGTGAAATCGGAGACACCTCTCAAAATTGAAAACAGATGAATTGTAGTAGTGCTCAAGGTCAGGGAAGTGGGTTACTATGGAAGTATGGTTATTTATCTTTCAGTTTACAGCCATGAGGGGGCCCAATCTTTATAATAATTCATGATTCTGTGCAGAGCACTGTTATATTTGAACTTGCTGATGATCTCACTTCAGAAAGGAGCACATCACTCAGGACTGGGCATGCTGTGGTTTATGTACAAAACAGCTGTCCTTAGGCTCATACTTTAACAAAAGTTCTTTTGTACTACAACCAAAGGTTGGTTAAACAGCTATTAGACACACACATTAAGAAATGAAAGTATTTTTCATTAATATCAGGCTGATTTGCGTTTCTTGTTTGAGCCATCATGATCATCAAAAACTGTACGAAAACATGACAAAAAAAAAGTCATAAGGTTTAAATGTTAAAATAAGGAAGATTTGATTGTTAATGAAGTGCTTTGTGCAACAGGCTTGCACTTGAAGAACATGATAAAAATCAAGAGAAATTTAAAATGTATATTTCTCATTTCCTGTTTGACCCATTTATTCAACAAATAGGTATAAACTAGAGCAATAGGAATTTAGAATTGGGCTCAAGGGTACAGTAGCCACCCAGGATTTGAACCCATAGCCCCTCCAGCCCTTTTTAACATGATGGGCCACAGGTGGACGCAGCAGCAACTGTATTCAGTTTAATCTGCCTTCATTAAATGTACAACTTTTTCTTACATTTTAAGTGGAACCCTTACCAAGATAATATTAATGCATAAAACCTTTCAACAAAATAAGAACACACACTGAGGGCAAGAGCTCGGATATGGACACTAAGGTTCATTGGACAACACACATGATCAGAAAAAAAAAATAGTTTACAAAAACTTTGCTGCTTAAAGATATATAGAATTCAGAGTAAAATAGAACATCTTCATTCAGTATTTGACTTCAGAGTAGCTTGGGCTAAGACATTTAATTCTAATGGCCAGACCAGCAACTACACAGTATGCTCAGTCAGAAAGGCCAACAATTATGGAAAAAACAACTTTTCTATAAATGTTTTAACACCAAATCAGGTAATATTTAGCCATGAATATGAATGAAAAAGGAATTGAAATGACAACTGACAAGCAGGGCACAGGGTACTCTATGCACAGAAGTACCACTTCCTTGCTGTGCATCATTTTTAAACTTCACAGGGTTTGATAAAACCATTTAAATTGTCACTGCACATTTTTGTACCAATAATAATCAGGACTAATGAAATAAATAACAGAACAACAATGAATGTGTTAACTCCAACTTTCATTACAAGTCTACAACACAACCCTACACAAAGGTGGTCACGTGTGAAGCTTCACAGTAAAAAGTCACAATTTAGGTATTACACAGACAACAGGACTGTTTGTTTGGAATAAATGTAAACACATGACTCGCATTATCAGCCGCCTCACACTGAATACTGGTGTCATAATAAGGATCGGATTAACAAGCAGACAAGTTTCAGCACAAGGGTTCATCTGATCCTTTATCATACCAATATGCCTGTTTACTTTAAGTACAGTTATTGCATATAAAACCTAAGTCTTCCCCGTCATACCACTTTAAAGGAAATGGCTTTTTTACTGACTTTTGAGTCATAACTTGGGAGCAACCAAGGCAAACCCAGCCTTCACTCTTCCTCAATTTGATCAAAATAACCTAAACCGCATTTTTTTTTATTTTTAACCATGAAATATACGACTATCTACATGTGAAGACATGTGATATTAACATCAGCTTGTCCATCCATCAAGGTTATCTTGAACCCTGAGCCTCAGTGAAGGAAGACGCGCAGAAAGTTTCAGGTTCTGCTTTTCTTATCCATGGTACTGCTGTAAACTGCTGGCCATTCAGTTTCATTTCTCCTAAGAGTTTTTCTGTGCTCTTGCTTGAGCAGAACATGCCTGTGCCGGGGCTTCTTTACATAATTCGCAGTAGAATCGTCACTGTATTCTAGGAAGTGAGAACTGTAAATTCTGACCAATAGAAACAACAAAAAAGGACCAGTGTCCCTCCAAAAGCCTTTAAACATATGCTTGAAACTATGTATATAGTGTAGTTCTTCACCCTAAACAGTAAAACTGTAGACAGTTCCTTTAAAAACTGGTTCTGAGAAGTTGAAAATAAGAGGCATTACAGTATGTCAAAAGATTATAAAAATTCCAAAGTCACATTTCATTACCAACAAAAAGAGGATGAACATTTGCACTCCAGCATTCCTCTAGAAGCTACCTATGTTGCTAGTTCTAATCACCTAGAAGAAACCAGTTTATACTATGACAGAGGTCAGTATTTTTCCATTATTATGTTGAAGCTAAACAATATTGGCATAAAGCATCTCCATTTTCTTTTTCTGAACTTACCAGAAAAGAATAAAAAAAGCTTCAAAGCTCACACCAGGTTCAAAACAATTATTCTGCTCTGTGTGTAATCCAGTCTGAGAAAACGATTTCTTTTACATCAATTACAGCTTTTCCTGCCAGAGACCAAATGAATAACTTTTTCATGTGGGATTTAAATTGCATTAGGTTGCTGGCAGAAACATGGGGTGTTGCAAGAAACTCCGGCTCTTCAGGGTCCTCTCTTGAAAGAGGATCCAGGAATTCAACTGTGGTAATCGGGCAAACAGTACACAACATTCCTCAAACAAGGGAAAGGCATCAAACCCCATACTAACAGTCATATCAGGTAGACACAGACCCAACAGAAAAGAAAGGAAACGTATGACTAAGGCATGATCATGACATTCACAGTATCGTGCTGATGACTCGTCCGCACACTATGAGTGACACTGTTATGCAAAACCTTGTTTCATGTAGTATGGAGAAATCAACCTAAGACTGTATCAAAGCCCAATGGCCTTGTCTTCAATGTGTCTTCAAAGTCAGAGGCCTTGGGAAATAGGATGTGAGTTTCACAATCAATTTAGATCAGCTTAAAGTACTATATAAAAGCACACTTACTGACAAAAAATAGTGTAGGTCTTTTAAATAAACTTGTACTATTTACCAAATTCTAACCTGAATACTCAAGTGCTCTGGCCTGATTACCGAGTTATTTTCTAGAACAAACAGTGAAGTCTGTGTTACTCCAAGTGCAGCTATAACAGTATTTCTCAGAACATACTGTATTATATATTTTCACA